TTTCTTCTCCGCTTCCCCACGGCGCTGCAAAGAGGCCAACCAGTCCTCGTCCCCGTCCTCGTCCTCCGGTGCGGGGGCGGGCAGACCTTCGGCCCTCACCTCGGACGTGCGGCCTGGGGAAAGGGCATAGGTAGAGGCGGGACTGAGTGAGCGTATTAAACTATTTTTCAACACTGACTGTATCACCTGTGAAACACGTACCCGATGCGGTGCGTTGACCTGCCTCTGTCTGCCGCGGCAGCCGGTGTGCCTGTTGCCCTGCCTCCTCCCCGGGGGGCGACAAACGCCGGGCTCGAGGGGGAACCCCGATCCGATCCGTCCGCGGCGCCAAACCAGTGCGGTCCCTGACGCTTCCACGCCCGTCGGGCCATGCCTTCCCTCCGCCATCGTCCCCCTCCTCGTCCTCGTCGTCGTCGTCGTCTTCAAAGAGGACCCGGCGCCGGGGGGGAAGCTTGATCCTACCCTGCTTCTCGGACCCCAATATCCCGTTCCGTAGCCCCTTGGTCAGGCTCGCCCAGGACTTGGACAGAACTTGCGCGCCCTCTGCCACGTCCGGGACCAGCTGCTTCCAGGCGGAAGGCGACGTCGCCGTCCTTCCCTCCCTTCCCTTTGTCTTCTTCCTCCCTCCTTCCCGCCCTCCTTTCTTCAGGGCCGCCAACCCTCCGCCCAGCCCCCTGTTCCCCCGCAGCATGGCTGGACTCTTCAATGTCGTTGATCCACGCTTCCCCGCTGCCATATCGCTGGGTGTGAAGCTAAAGGTGAAGGACGGACCCCCCTCTCCCTTCCCTCCCTCCCTCCCTCCCTCCCCCCAGCCTCCTGTCGTGTCCCTCTCTGCCTCCGCGTCGATCAGCCCGTGCCGCATTAAAAACGCCGCGGACACACGCTTGAACCGCTCTACAGGCGCTGGCATCAAATTTTCGGCCGACAGAATTTCCGCCTCGTCCTCTTCATCCTCCAGATCCATCACCACCCCGCTCTCCCTCCCTCCCGGCCGCCCCCGCCTTTCCCTTTCCGGGCGGCGCACTTCTCCCACGAGCCCCAGTCGATGCAGGAGGGTCGTATATCGAAGCAGGACCCGCATGACCACGGCCACGAGGAGGTAGAGTTGGAGGACGTACACTTGGGCGAGCTCCCGAAGCACGAGGCCCATGGCCAGCGTCATCCGCCCGGCTGCGGTCTGAAGCAGGCTCTCCTCCAATGGAGAGAGGGGCGGCTCCGGCGCCGGGGGAGGCGGTTGGGGCCCTCGCCGGCGAGGAGGGCGGGAGGGAGGGCGAGGAGCAGGGAGGGATGCGGCCATCTTTGTGGCCTCCGTGTCCGGAAGAGATGCCCCTGCCTCCCGGGCCTCGGACCCGCCTGCTTCCCTTACCCCTCCCTTCCGAGTTCTCCGATTTGGCTTGCCTCCAGCCGTTTGTCTCCCTTTCCCTCCCGACAATGCGTCCCCCCTCGTCTGGGCAGAGCGCGCCGAGTCACCCTTCTTTCCCGGCCCCAGGCCCCTCACTCTCCCCACCTCCCTGTCGGAGGCCGCGTCTGTGGCTCCCCCTTTCTCTTCAGCCACATCTGCCCCCTCCTTCCCACGCGTACCCTCATCAACCTCATCTTTGGCCGTGTCGCCATCTGCCGCCGGCCCTGATGGTGCGGAGGGAGACACAGCCCTGCGCGTGGATTGAGGGCTCGCGGTCTGTGTCCCCACCCCCAGCGTACCCTTGTCCGTCCGACCCCGTACTTTTCCGTTGCTGACCTCGGTAGGACTGAGCTCTCTGCCGTCATCTTTTTCGCTCGTGGCCGTGGCTGTGGTGGTGGTGGTGGCGGGTCCGGAGGATCGCTTGATCCCTCCGCGAACGTGGGCTACCCAGTACGAATGCTCGCAGCGATGAACAAAGGAATTCAAGGAAGACGCCAAGGTAGAGGATGGCAACGAAGGAAGGAAGCGCGACGAACAAAGTAAGGACGCTGAAGTGGTGGTGCGGGGGCAAGAAGAGGAGCGAGAGGAGCACGAGAGGGCGGATTCCTCACATTGCCAAGGCAGGCAAGATGAGCACCGCGCGTCCATAATTGATAAAACACACGACAGGACGCCAAGCCAGAGTGCACGCCGTCCTGCGCTCGCCTTCGTTCTTCTTCGCCCATGAAGTGTGGTGGGCATGGTTGCACAACGAGCGTCCCATTTGGGGGGACGCTCGTCTCGCATCATGGAAAAGGAAATGCCCCTCCTAGACTAGCCTAAGGAAAAGCACAGGCTGCGCGCAACCCGACGAATGCGTGCAACTCCTCCTCAGCCGCATGCAGATCCTTACGTTCGTCTCGAGGAAAACGTGCCTGGTCTTTGTGCAGGGTGGAAGGCTTTATAAATTGAATGTTTTTAGTGTAGCAGTCGCCGTTTCCGCCTCCCTCGCTGACCTCCCCCCTTTCCTCCCTGTGACCAGCACGCGTTCACACAGGGAAATCTGTATTGGTGCCCTTCACAGGGGTCATGGCCTTGCGCCGAGAAGGTCAAAAAATTCTCTTCAGGTCATTGGGCGTGCGAATGGGTACAGGAAGGCTTGCGTGCTCGTGGTCGTCACGCAACAGGTAACTAGGGAGGCCTGGAAGGAGGGAACTGGAACATAGGATTCCCCTTCCCCGAGCATTTCTGGGCAAGTTGGTGCGAGCGCGCCTCATTTCGCTCGTTCTTTTCTGGCTATGTCTGTTGTCCTGCGTGAATTGATGCAGACTGACTGCTGGAGGATCGCACGCGCCAAGGTCCCCGACGGCCCTCGCGACTCCCCCCTTGCTGCCTCTTTCCTCCGCCGCCATTCGGACAGTTCCCAATGCCAAATCGAAGGGCGTTGCCGCGGCCTTCTTGCTAGGATCGATGTTGCTTGGACACGCGTATGAGGACTCCACTGCTCGCGCCGACGCTAAGGTACGTGGGCGTCAACCGGCTCCATGGTGAGAATCTTATCTTGCGGGGCTGCCTCCACGCCCCCTTTCCTCATTATTTCGCCGAACTGCCAGCGTGCACTTCGTACCTACTGCGCGCTATAACATGCCATGCCCTTTTCTCTCCCGTTTCATACCCCTGCTCTGCCCATTTCTTCTTTGCTAATCACCTGTTTCCTTCGTGCTCGCCCTCTGTATGTCGGGTTCCTCAGCCCCTCCCTCCCAAGGGCTCCGCCCACGGAAATGGCCTCGGCCGCTATTTCGTCGCCGACGCAGTCGAGGCCGCCGCACCTGCTGTTGCCAATATCACGGTGAACATTCGTTTCCACGCGGGGCGGTGGACCCCAACTTATGCCACGCAATCGGGATCCGGCTTTGTCATCAGCGAAGACGGCTTGGTCGTCACGAATGCGCACGTGATAGCCTCCAGCATGGGGGGTGATGAACCCGTCATGATCACCCTCACAGACGGACGGAAATTTTCGGGGAAAGTGAGTTTTGGCCTTCCCCGATCCCGCGCGTTGGGTGGTGGCCACCCCTCCGTGTCCTGGCAGCCTCGGTCTTATGCCCCCTGATCCCCGTCCCCCTCCCTTGTCTCCCCGCGACCCCCCGCCCAGGTCCACAGCATCGACGCCCGAACGGACGTGGCCTTGCTGCAAGCCGACACCCAGGGCGCCAAGCTGCCAGTGGCTCGGATCGGACAGAGCAGCAACCTGCGGCCGGGGGAATGGGTAGTGGCTCTAGGCAGCCCGCAGGGCCTGGCGAACACCGTGACGGTCGGGATCGTCAGCACGGTGGCCCGCTTGGGCTCGGAGCTGGGGCTCATGCACACACGGGCGGAGTACATACAGACAGACGCGGCCATCAATGCGGGAAATTCCGGTGCGGGCTTTGTTTGGGACGACCTTTTTTTCTGCATGTGCCTCAGTTTGTTTTCTTTTCTTTTTTTTGTTTTTTTGGTAATTTTTCGATCGATTTTGTCGTGTTTGGCGTGGGAACACTATTGCAGGTGCTGACCATGTCAGTCCATTGTCCCTTTTCTGCCTCCGCACAGGGGGGCCTTTGGTAAACCTGGACGGGGAGGTGGTGGGGATCAACAGCATGAAATTGGAGTACTCCGACGGCATCGGCTTTGCCATTCCCATCGACTCCGCCTTCCAAGTCGTCCAGCAGCTGATCAAATACAAGCGGGTCCGACGGCCCTACGTGGGCCTGTCCTTCCGCCTCGTGAACGTGGAAGGCGCCGAGGGAGAGCGGGCCGGGGAAAAAGAATTGGGTATGCTGGTGCTGGAGGTCAAGGCCGGGAGCCCCGCGGAGAAAGCCGGCCTTCAGGAAGGAGACGTGGTGATTGAAATCGACGGCTCGCGGGTGAAGGGCCTGGGGGATGTCACGGAGAAGATCGGATTGGAACCGGAGAAGACCTTCACGGTGAAGGTTATGAGGCATGGGCAGCGATATCCCTTGATGATGAGCGTGACGAGCGTGGCCGATGAAAGGAAGAGATGAAGCCGGGAAAGGGGAAGTAATAGAAGCTAGGTTGCGCAGTAGGACGGCATGGGGAAAAAAAAACTGGTATAGATTCGTCCTGAGGATGGGAAGCCAAATTTATTGCTGCTAAGATTATTCATGCTCAAAGGCACGAACCCCCGTGTCTCCATTTGCGTAAAGATTGATCGATGCCGCATTCGCTTATTGATTGGTACAGGAGAATGCGGTGCACACATAGCTATATAGGTGTATGAACACGTCGACAGTGGCCCGGGTGAATGAACACGTCGACAGTGGCCCGTCTCTCCCTCCTTCCCATCCCTTCCACTCGTCGACTACCCCCACCCCCTTCCAGCACATTCCTCCCTCCTCCTCTTCTCACTCCTTTCTACACAACCCAGCCGCGATCTCTATTGCCCTCCCTCGCATCCTTAAGCAACCTCCCCTTTGCCCCCCTGCCCTCCCAGCGTTCTAGCTGCCTGGAAAGAGGGCTCTTGCATGACTCTGCGGATGGAGAGGCCATGTCCTTAATTGCCTCGTTCACCCGCGCACCGTCATTGCGCCTCCGCCTCCCCTTCCTCCTCCTCCTCCTCCTCTTCTTCTTCCTCCTCCTCCTCCTCCTCCCCCAATGCCCCCAGGCCCTCCTCCACCATGCAGGGCGAGATCAGCACCGAGTCGTCATCCCGACGTAACCTGTGCGTCTCGTTGTACAATTTCACCACGAAATTCGACAGAAGGGAACGGTCGGGTATGCTCTCGACGATCCCGTAAATGTCTGCCTTCCCCCGGGAATGTAAGGCCCTGGCCCCCCGTCGCCGCACGTCCTCCACCGAGGCCTTCAAATCCTGGAGGAAACGGTCCGCCACCTCTTGGTGGTGCGGCATCACGGACAAATGCAACGAGGCCGGCGCCTGCTGCCGCTCCATCCACCAGCCTTTCTCCTCCATCACGTCGCCGACCAGGAGGATGCATAGCCGCGGGTCCCGGCTCAGTATGGCCAGACAGGTCATCTCCGGCTCCGCCACCAACCCCAGACCTCGGACGCTCCGCACCCCTTCCTTCAAGCAATGGCAGACCTCCATGGCGGTTTTCGCCAGCCGCAAGTAGCCCTTCTCCCCCAGTTGCATCATGCCCGCCCAGGCCGCCGCCACGTTTCCCCCTGGCCGGGTCCCCGTGAGCGAGGGGGAGCCGAAGACTCCCCCTGGCCACTCCGTGTAGGAGAAGAATTGATGGGCGCGCATGTCGGCGTTCCGGTAGAGCAAAACCGAGGCCCCTTTGATGCAGTCTGGGACAAGGGAGGGAGGGAGGAGGGGTCACAAAGGGTCCAGGTCTGACAAAGACGTTTCCCAAGCCCCACCGCCCCTACCCCCCAGGAGCCTGGCACCTACATCCGTATTTGTGCATGTCCACAGAGATGGAGGACACACCGTCCAATCGGAAGTCCCATGGCGTGACCTCGTAGCCCAATTTCTCCAGGAAGGGGAGCATGAACCCGCCCAGCCCGGCGTCCACGTGCAACGGCACGTTTTGTTCCTGCGCCATCCCTGCCAGGGCGGGAATGGGATCCACCACGCCGTGGGGCTGTTGAGGGGCCGAGGCCACGAGCAAAATCGTGTTGGGCGAAATGGCGGCCTCCACGGCGGCAAGCGAGACGCGTTTGTCGGGGCCAATGGGGACAATCACGATTCGGACGCCAAACAAGGCACCCGCCTTGACGAAGGCCGGGTGTGCGGTGATGGGCACCAGGATTTCAGGCTCGCGGACGTGGGGGAGGGTGGCCCGCGCCATGTCGCGGTAGGTCTTGACCGTGAGCAGGATGCTTTCCGAGGACCCGCTGGTCAGGGTACCCACCACCTCCTCGTCCCCGTGGAGGAGGGAGGCGGTCATGGCGATCACCTCGTTCTCGCACTGGAAATAGGGGGGGGGGGCAATGGGGGAGGATCCATGGATATGGATGAGGCGCGTCATGCACGCGGACTTGCAATATGCACAGCCAAGGGGAATCCACACGGACTCGAAGACTTACCTTGCGAACGACGGGGATCAAGACGGGGTTGGAGGGGTTGGTCGACTCACTCAGGAAAGCAGTGAAGGCCATGTTGACCACCTTGTCATGGTAGCCCGTCGTGTCTGCTCCACTGCTTTCTTCGAAGGATCGAAAGGCCTCTAAAAGCACTTGGGTATGGGCACTCAATGGCGTCCCTTCGGCATTGTAATGCACGTAACCGAACGCCTTGCACCCTCGCTCCATGCTGCGGCGCTCTGCCGCTTTAAGCGCCTCGAGCTGTTGCATTATTTCCTCCCCGGAAAGCCCTTCGACAGGAAGCCGGAGGACAGGTCGATGCGCTTCACGGCATATCTGAGACTCGGACTTGGCCAGGCGCCGTACTGCTCCCTCCACCTGCCTTCTAAGCAACCGCTGGATTAACCTCTCCACCCCTGGCAAGTTCCTGAGAGCCTTGAACGTGGCACTGTACACGCCCACAAATCCTTTTGTCCGGATGATGTTCAAAGTCCTACAAGCGACGACGAAAAACACTGCATGCTCGAGCAACACTAGTCCATGCGAGGCTAATGCGCGTCCCCGCCCGACGCTCCTGTGTGCGCTCATGCTGCCGAAACGGTAGTTCTTGGCGACACCGTAATATCTGCGTGGTAAGCTACACAATATAGCGGTTCTTTGATTCTAGAGACGTGGAGGCTGCTTTTATGGATGGATAAGATGAAAGCGGCATGTGAGCATTGAGTGCCCGTTGGCACTTTGCGTCAGGAGGTGTCATCAGATTTGAGAGGAAAATGGACAGTTTTCATCCCACTTGTGCCATAAATATGGTAACGAGGGGGGCAAGCTGTCAATAAATAGTAATCTACGAGGATATTGTGCCGAAACATTCGACGCCAACTCTCCCAAGACACTTGTCACGTCAAGTCATCTTTTTCGCCCGGGGCAGGCTCTCATCGTATCACCAAAGAAGACACTCGTTGCCCTTAATTTTTTTCGAATCAAATCCCGAAGCATCCGCCGCATCTCTCCTGCTACCCCTGCATGTAATTCTCCGCACGGAAATCCATTTGTACCGACGTCGTCTGGTCGCATTGTATAAGTATTTTGTTGGGACCTCCCTAATGCTGGAGGGAGAACTTCAAGACAGCAGAAGGCGAGTGGATGCACTGACACCACTCCGAAAAGACCCAAAACTCACGCCCAAGGATAATTTGAGACTCACCGTCCAAAATACGAACCATTTTCCCGCGTACCATAGGACTCCATCCGCTTCGTTCAAAGCACCGGAATCACTGCCGGTGGTTTTGCCGACTGGGCGCGGGAGGCCTCATGCTCGAACCGGAATGTCGAGGGATGGTCTTGAATGAAGCCGCTGCCTCAGTCAAATCAAATGGGAGCGACTTGGACGATGATGTGAGTGACCGGGATGCGCCCCCACCACCCCCTACGCCCTTGCACACCGACCCTCGTGGGCAGCGAAACAAAGGTGATATCCTGGAGTCCTTGCTCGAGATAAGCTTGGATAACGAGGAGGGCGACATCGGTGGGTCCAGGAGCACGACCTCGGATTTACCCCAGGTTAAAAATGAGCCATCGGCCGCGCGCACTATGCTTGAACTCAAAGACATTGCTCGGATGCGGCAGCATGTCAACGTCCTGGATCCTGTTCCGTCTCGAGGCGGGTTTGCAGCAATGAAGCGAGGGGCATTAGGGGGGAGAGGAATTGAAAGAGGAGGGCAATTGACGTCCGCCGTGTCTTCGGCTTTAGAGCAGGCTACCGCATCCTTTGGAGAAGAGACAGGATCCCTCGCTGCTTTTGAGCGTATGCAGCGGATCAAAGGCGGCAAAGGTGGTGGGAAAGGTGGGGTTCACGGCATCATGGATAGCAGGGGCTCCGGACGCAAGGCTGTCTTATCCAGCAAGGCTCGTCAGCGAAGAATAGCGGGAAGCGAGAAGGAGGAAGCCTACAACGACAAATTGAACGGCCGAATGGTAAAGCACAACAAGCGGAAGGAGCGCATGGAAAGGCTGAGGCGCATGTATTGAATGAGTCCGGGAAAGGGAGGATCCGACCTTGTGAATATATTTGAATTTATTGTGTCGGGATGCATGGAGGGCAACGAGCATGAATCAAAAACATGATGATTGTGCAGACATTGACACACTTGGCGCACGCAATTAAAGCAAAGCAAATTACAGACCTTGGCAATTCGGTTTTTGTGTTGTCGGCAAACTTATTTTGTTTAAAAAAATGTGGCGTGACCAGGGCAGCCAGGCTGTTGAGATCCCACAAACCGACTGCACCGTCTGAATTTAGGAAGCACTGCTTCCAGCCTTTTGTCATCTACAATGTTGCTCCACCTTTCTTGCATTTGTATGGCGAGAGGCCGCATTGTCCGCTAGCGCCGTCTTCGGCTGATGACGATCGGTTGTCGGCTGTCCTGCACGTTGTCGTTCATTACCGCCGTGAAAACAGCCGCGAGCACGTCAAAGTCCTCATCGGACAGTGCCTCCACCACGAACGCGCGCTCTTGAAAGGTCAAAGACACGATGCGAGCCCCTTTCTTCAGCCTCACCTCTAGCAGATGCGACAGCGACAAACCCCCTCGCCTGGCCCCTGCCTTCTTCTTCTTCCTTCCCACCTCTTCCCGTCGGCACCAGTACACTTCCTCCCGGTCCACAAAGAGAACGCGATAATGCGGCACGACGCAGCCAAAGCGGCCATGCTTGAGCACTTCCATGCCTCCCTCCCTCAGGAGATCAAAGCCACGGTGCTCCCGCCGTCGCCCAGCCAACACCGAAGCTTCTCCCGAAGCCCGCCGGTTGGCGCGTGCATGCCCGGACAAGGACGGGGAGAGACCGGCGGCCGAGGAGGATGACAACCGGGTGCCCTCAAACCTCCGAACAGGCCGGCTATGGCTGCCCCGGTGGTCGGGGTCTGTCCATCCGGGGGTGGAGGGGGAATAGGACAAAGCCGAGCTCACGCTGCTGCTCCGAACGTGGTAGGGACTGGCGCCCGCGCCGTGGACCCCAGGCCCTCTTGTTTTCGAGAAAGACCGGCCAGAGGTGGAGTCATCAGAATCCCTCCTCTCCGTTGACCCTTGCAGGGCCCGACCTCGGGGGAAGGCGTCCGTCACGTTCCGATCTGCCCTTCGGCTTGCAGAAAGCTCGCCGTCCGCGCGGCCGCTGTCATTGCGCTGCGCATTATATGAGGTCGAGGTGACCTGTGGGGAGGCAGTAGGGGTCACGGATAATGCAGGACTGCTCGTGCTGGTGCTGTTACTGCCAGTGGACGATACTCTCCGCCGCACCCCAGCCCTCCTTGTCGTCACCACTCCTTCCCCCCCCGGCCCCTCGTCGCCTTCCTCGTCCCGCCTTCCCGTTCTCCCTTTTTCCATTTGGCTCCATTTCCTCCATCTTAGGCACGGGCACTGGAAACACGAAGGCCAGGATCGATTCCGGGCGCTGCGATTGGGTGGCGGGCAACGCCGCAATCCCGACCGGTTGCAAAAAACAAGCCTGGTCTAGTCTTCCCCGATGTAAGGCCAGGCGAAAGCAAACCTCACAGAGGATGACAGGTGTATACCGACGGATGCCCTCCCACTGCGGCTCATAGCCTCCCAAGATGCGCCAGGGCTTGTTGGGACGGGCGCAGAGGCAAGCGGAGGGGTGAGGGATGCCTTTGCCTGGACTGTCACCTTCCACGGCCGGCCCCGGGGGCAAGACGCAGGCGCGAAGATTGATTTTTCGCGGGTTGGCCACCACTCGGTCCACAACGAAACGGAAGATCTCGTGGTGGAGGGAGAAGCCCAGGCTGGCGCCGTGACCGGCCCGAAGCGTCGTCTCCGAAGCCCACCGGAGGACGTTCGAGAGGGAGGATTTCGGGGTGGTGGTTCCTACCATGGCCGACAAGGAGGAACGGCGGCGAAGTGTATCCAGGTATGCTACTGTGCCCCCTAGCCCGCTGCCATCAGTGCGGGTGCTGCCGCTGTCTGTGCCGGGACGGGTAACCTCCGCGCTCTTCTCAGTGTCCCAGCTGTCTCCTGCATCGGCCAGCGTGGGTAGGTGCCACGCCCGAACGAGGACGTCCACAAGCCAGAGCATGTGGCGAAGATCCAATGGAGCGTACAGGTCTTCCATTTTTTGCGCGAAGCCATGCTTTTCGCGGACATGCACTAGCAGCTCTTCCAGGATGGTGGAGGGGGCCTGCAGCTCCAGCAGGGCCTTCGCCAGAGCCTTGAGACGAAAGGAAAGCAACAAAGAGATGATTTCCTCGTTTTTGACCTCGCAGCAGAAAAATTCTTGCAGTGGCCCTTGCAAATGCATCCAGTGCTGTTTATCCCTGGCCAGGCACTCGTCCAGGACGCCCAAGTAAAAGGTCGCATTTTTCCAAGCCTCGTGCGTCCGCAAAGCTGATTTTATGGTGCGCAAGGAAGAATGCCCGCCGCGCCCACCTTGCCCTAGATACGTTCCTACCAGACCTGAAAGGAAAAAAACCATGCGGATACTCAGGTAGTCTTGCTCGTTGTTGGCTTCACGCAGGATGACCCGGAGTACGTCGGTCAGGACCTCGTAGTGTGTGAGGCTGAGGACGAGTTGATTTTTCCCGGACAGGGCGTGAAGTTGCAGACATTTGGACAAGAATTGGAGGCGAAAATCCTGGATTTTAAATAGGACTAGATTTTCAAGAGTCAGGACTCCGTTGTTATTTTGCTGCAAGCCTTGAAACTTGAAGTGATGGTGATGATGGGGTGACGTGCCCAAAATAGCGTCGCCACCCAACAGCTTGGTGGCCAAGTCGTTGACGAAAGCCTATAAAAACATACAAGAGGTGGCGGTGAGAAAGAATGATGATGGATTTGCCCTGCAAAGTGCTACATTTTACAAGGTGGTCGGGAAGGGGCCTAGGTATGTCTGTCCTTCCTCGCAACTATAAAATACCTTTTTTTCGCCTATATTGTACATAATCTACCGCCTATGTCTCAATTTACTGCGTCCAAATTTTCAGAAGGGAGTTTCTGGTTCGTCCTTGTAGTGTCTCCTCCGCGCCGGTACGATGAAGGCGAGACACGACGACACCTAGCAGGGAGGGCAGGCAGATGCCTGTTGCCAAGCAATGGTTAGTGAAATGATCGGGTGAGCGGGAAACCCCCTGGATACCTGTATTGTCTCACAATCTCGTACCCTGAGTCGCGTTGACAGAGCGTGCCTTGCACCGCAGTTGTAAGACTGGTGCATGCACCCTGAGGATCGGCATATAGCGTGGCAGCGCACTATGGGCCCATGTCGACGTCGAGCGAAGAAGGGACGAGAAACATCATCTGAAAAGGAAAAAAAGGCGCGAAATTTGATGAGCATGGCCGTGTTTCCGTGTTCCTCCTCTTCGTTGCCAATGCGTAGCCCTTTATCCGCGCGATACATTCATGCAGACATGCTTCACAGGACTTACTCACACCTTGTACCATAGCAGAGGCGCGGAGGCGAGGTGTGGAGGAAGCCGGCGGCAAGTGAGGCTGCGCCTCGTTCAGCGACGGCGCGAAAAGCAGCACGGTAACAGGCAATTTCAGCACTTGCTGTTAAAATGCTGTCAACTCCCTCGCTGCCTATGGCACTCACGCCAGCCCCATCGGCGTCAGCATCACAGCCAATGGATGCCGTAGCATTGGCTGCGCGGGAGGATCTTCTGTTGCAGTGTGCCACGGAGTTAGAGTCCCAAATCTCTACCTTGTTGCGCGAACGGGAGACCTTGCAGGTCAAACTTCAGAGGGCGCAAGATGAAACAAAACGAGCGAAAGGGACCATTGCCAGTTTGAGGCGAAGCCAAATGGTAGCAAGTACATCATCCTTTGCATCGAGTGGTGCCAGTGGCATCGGAGGTAGTCAGCGGGAGGCGCTTTTATTAACGTTAGAGAAGGAAGTATTGGCAAAAAAAGATGAAGTGAGGGCCTTGCTCCGTGAGATTGAAGGGCGTGAACAAGAAGCCTTGCGTTTGGAACGTGTTGCAAAGGTCCGTGAAGAACGTGTGGCCGACATGCTACGACATGCGCAGGAACAGACGACGACATTGCGGGAACGGGAACAGGAGTTGGCCACCCGCGAGCAGGGCCTCGCTCAGGACCAGGAGGAGGTCAAACACCGTGTGGAGGCCCTCGAGGCTCAAGAAAAATCCCTAGACTCCCACACCCACGAATTGGACGCGGCCATGGCGGAGGTGCGGGGTAAAGCAGAAAAATTGCGCGAAAGAGAGCTGGCTCTGGCGGAACGGGCGAAGGTGGTAGCGGAGAAAGAGACCGAAGTGCAGTCTATGGATGGTATCTTGGAAAGCCAACGTCAGGAGCGGCTGGAGCTCGATGCACGGACGAAAGAAATAGAAGCGAAGCAAGCTACGCTCGAGGAGAAGGCGGAACTTTTGGAGGAACGACGGGCTCGACTCCAGGAGTGGGAAGGTCGATTGGGTTCGAGGGAGGAGGGGATGGACGAGACCAAACGCACTTTGGAGGAGACTCGGATCGATTTGGAAAGACGAGAATCAGAGGCACAAAGGGCGATGGATCAGACTGAGAAAAGGATGAGGGAGCGGGAGGAGGAGGCACGAGGCACCTTGGAGAGGGTGGAGGAGCGAGTGAGGGCCTTGGAGGCTCGGAGGGAAGAATTGGAAGGAGAAATTGATGGCCTGCAAAGAGAGGAAGCCCGACGACGCGAGGCGATGGAAGAGCGGTTGCGGCAAGGAGAGTTGGCATGGGATAGCGTGCACGAGGATGTGCAAGGCGTCCGGAGGGAGCTGGAGGAGAAATGCCAGCGCCTGGCGGAGGTGGCAGGAGAGACGCGAGAGTTGGAAGGGCGGGCAGAAATGGCGCGCAAACAAATCCACGCCAAACGGCACCACCTGCGCGAGCTCGACAAGAAGGTGGAGGGTGCAACGGCGGAGTTGACCAAGGTCTCAATGCAAGCGCAGGGCTTGCACCGCGAGGTGGAGCGGGAGAAAGAGGTCTTTTTTCAGTACCAGCGGGAGACGACAGAGGAAGTGGAACGTATGAAGGCTCAGGCCTTGAAGGAGGTGCGGCTTCAGGGAGAGGCGACGGAGGCGGAGGCGGGTCGGTTGAAGGCGGAGTGGAAGGCGGAGCGGGCAGCCTTGAAAAAGGAAAGAGAGCAGCTGGAGAGAATGCGGGAGGCCGTGGAGCACCGTCGTCGTGAGCAGGAGGAAGGATTGGTGCAGGCCAAGCGCCGGCTGGAGAAGGAACGGGCGGCTTTCGAGAAGGAAGCAGAGGCGGGGCGGGCAGACAAGCGCGAGTGGGAGGCCGAGCTCACGGCCCATCGACGGGCCTTAGCGCAGGAAATGGAGGCCTGGGAAGAGAAAAAATGGGCCGAAGAACGGGCTTTGCGAGCGGGGCGGGTGGAACAAGAGGAGTCTGCGGCCTCCTTGCGGCGAGACGTGGAAGAGAAGGCACGTGGACGCGAAACGAAATTGCGCGAAACCGAGGCTCGGATGAAGCAAGAGCGGGAAGACCTGGAGCGGACGGAGAAGTCCTTGCAGAAGACGGCCGCCACCTTGGAGGAGGACCGCAGGGCTCTGGAGGTGAGAGAACAAGGGGTGGTGGCAGAGGGACAGAAATTATCAGCATTGGCCCGGGAGTTGAGGAAAAGGGAGGTCGCCCTGGAGAAGGAAAGGCAAGAGATGCTCCTGGGGTTCAGTGGGGTGAAAGAGGAAGTCAGCGCCCGGGCCGAAAAGAACACCCAGACCGCGCAGGCTCTGGCGAGGGAACGTGAGGAATTGGAGACTTGGACGTCGAGGCTGATGCGGGAGGCAGGGGACATGAAGCAAGCGCGGGAGGCCGTGGAGAAGGAGCGGACCGCGGTGGAAGCGACGCGGTTGGCGGTTCAAGCGACACAGAAGGATCTGAGGGAACAGTTGGAGGCCTGCCAGCAGGAAAGAGCGTTGTTGGAAGCGAAAAATGTGGAGGCAGACGCAAAGCGATCGCGTGCCGAGGACCGCTTGGACATGGCGGAGGAGAAAGTGGGGGAGGCTGAGCGCAAGTTGAAGCAGGCCTTGAAGAAGGAAAGGGAAGTGGAGGAAATCGCCGCACGTTACGAGGTGTTCACGCAAGAGCTCGAAGAAGGGCGCGCTCAAGTTCGGGAGGCGAAGAGACGGATGGAGGAGTACAAAAAGGCCCTGGAAGAGGCAGAGGCTCAAGTGCTGACCTTGCAGGGCGAAGGGGCACGGTGGAGGGAGAGGTTGGCGACTAGCGAGGCGATTCTGTCGGAACGGCAGAAGGCTTTGGAGGAGGCGTTACGTCGGGAAGGGGAGGCACGTCGACGGAGCCTGACCATCGAGGAGAGCGAGAGAATGGCGTTGGAGGCTGCCAAAGAGGCGGTGGAACGCCGGGAGGCACAGCTGCGGTCCCGGGCCTTGGAGTTGGAGTGCTTGGCAGATAATGTGGCCCGTCGGGATGCAATTCTTCTCAGTTTGGAGGACGCGTATTTCCAAGAGGGAGGGAGGGGGGGAGGACAAAAGGAAGGGAGCGATAAAAGGCTGGTGGTGGAGGGGAGGAAGCGGGATGCGGCCGAGGTACGGGCTCGGTTGGGAGAGGCCAGAAGCGTGTCACGTATGCTGGAAGAGGAAAGGATGGGCTTGGAGGAAAAGAAGAAGAAGTTGGTGCAAGCGAAAGCCGTGCTGGACAAAAAGCGGGAGAAATGGGACGGGGAAAGGCGTGCTCTGGAGGAGCGGGCACAACGCGTGTTGCGGCATGAGGAAGAAGTGAAGGCAGAGGCCGTGCGGGTGGATCGATGGAAAGAGGCAGTGACGGAGGAGGAGCGCGGCCTAGAGCGACGACGCCGGGAGCTCGAGGCATGGCGCGACGAAGTGCAAGGGGAGATGGAGAGAATGCGGGCGGAGATTTTGGAGAAGTATGCGGCGGCCACGGGAAAAGAGGAAGAAACGGAGAGTCTGCGCCAGCGCCTGCTCATCTCGGCAGAGGCGGCGGCTGTGAAAGTGAAGGAGGTGGAAGAAGCACGCATATGGATCGAAGAGGAGAGGGTGAAGCTGCAGGCCAAGATCAAACATGTGGCTCTGGTGGAAAAGACGGTCTTGCAGCAGATGCACGAGGTGGAAGCCGCCTGGGAACGTGCGCAGGAAGAGCGAGAGGCAACCTCAGACCACCCGCCCGAGGCGGGCAAATCCAGGCTGCCAAATTTCTCCGGGCCCCCGCGTTCGAGGGAAAGGCAGGGCCAGGAGCAAGACATCACGCCCCGGACCAGGGCGGCGGTCGCACTTGTGGCCGCGGTGACGGAAATGGCCGAGGGAAGCGGCCGAGCGCCGGCCAAGGCGCTTGAAGCAGATGCCGCTCCGACGGCTCGCCAACAGACATCCTCTCCCGCCTCCATTGAGAAGGCGACGTCCGCCCCGCGGATGGACATGTCGCAACCGCCAGCCGTCTCTTGCTCTCCGCCCATAGTGCCGAGACCCTCCCCTCCCCCCTCAACGCCTGTGTTGACCGATTTTCGTACTTCCCCGGGGGCATCGAAGGCCCAGGAGGTACTAGCGCGCTCCACGCCCTTACCGGATGACGGGGAATGGCCGCCTGAACACGGCAACGACCTTACTCTAGAGTCGATTCAACAGCGCATGGCAGCGGCGGTTGAATCGTTGAACACGTCTGTGCAAACTCGGGATGAGATGCTCTTCGGTCCCAAGTCCTACCGGCACCGGCGGCTCGAAGAAGGAGGCAGCGACGAGGCGTCGTGTACCCCGTTATGTCCGAGCATGCCATTGACTCCTATGTCGCTGTCTTCCTCTTCATCTCCAGGTAGGTCCCTGAGCTCCACTGCATCGTCACCCATCTTTGTAGGAATGGGAGCGGACGCGGAGGTCCCGGGCCAGAGGCAGACGGAGGAGCAGGGGCGATGCAACACGGAAGAGGTGAATGCAACGTGCTATGGCGTGAAGACTGATCCTCGTACAGGCCTTGGGAACAAGAAGGTTGTGGAAGAAAGCCGCGCAGGAGAGACAGGGTCGGGGGGAAAAGGGGCAGAGGGAGGACACGCAGGTGCAGACCGCTTTTCCGAAACAAATGTTGTATCGGTGGGAGAAGCAAAAGGAGAAATCGATGGACAACAACCCCAAAACTCGGTACAACATGATGTAAGCTTCGAATACCCCCAAGAGGAAGTACAGGACGCAACTGAGAATGCAGGGGTGGAATCAGGCTTCAATCAGAGAAGGCTTGCGCTTACAACGAAGTTGCAGCGTTTGTCGATCCAGATGGCCTTGTTGGAGGACGATTCGTCGTTGGAAGAGGGCGAGAATGGGGAAAGAAGAGACAACGAGACAGAGAATTGGGAAGGCTGGCAACACGGAGAACGAAACACAGACGGGAAGAGGAAGGAGGGGGAAGAAACTGACATATTGCAAATGAAATTCACGCTTCAACAAGAGATCGAGGCTACGCGAGTTGCCCTTCAGGCAGAAGATATGACTAAAATTTCGTCAAAAGATGTGCATTAGTGTGCAGAATAACATACACAGTATTTACCTGTGCGTATCAAGGGGAGTGTTGTGTGAAGTCCTTTGAAAAGGAGGCCTGGGCCGAAGGCAGTCAAGAGTCGATATGTGAAATGAGGAATACCCGATACATGACACCGGATTAATTTTGGGGGCCCTTTTTTTGGGAGCACTTGCCATCAAGGAAGTTGTCACTGCGCAACGGAAAAAATGTCATTTCTTCTGGTACGATGTGGCTCTCTCAGAGAAATCAAGCCCTCCTGTATAGATCAAAAAAGACGGTGTATTACATCATTTGTGTATTTTTAGACAAACTGGCAATGAATTTTGATTTAAGGCGTTCAGAACTCGAACGGAAAGTATTGGGACAATCACTAACTATGAGACTCCTAAGAGGTTGCAGTACCAGGAGGTTAAAAAATTAACGGCCAACTACACATTTGCCACAGGATGTAGCAAGCCAATTACGACGATTCATACACCGACGCATCCACAAGGAGAGAAAAAAGAATCTGATATCGGGGCCATGGAATCCTGGAGGGAATTCAATTTTTGGAAGCTCCCCGTCCTTTCCACTGCTTCATCTCTCGAAATGCTCGGGATCGCTCTTGGCCAGCCGTTGGGGAAATTCCGTGTCAACGCCGACCCTTCGCGTTCCTTCTCCGCCCGCCTCAGCGTTTGTTGACACCTTTGTGCGCAATGCGCATTGTGAATGAAGTGTGGATCTTGTTTGTCACGGGACCACAAGGCTTTTGACGGGCTCTTACCCCTGTGATATTATGTTTTTAGTTTTTCCAATGGGCCGGCTGCCACGCGTCACGGAGTACCATCTTCCTCTGTGTCGCCGTGTCGTCTTCAATATCTAGAAAAATACGACCACATGCCACATTCATGAAAATCAACGATGATAATTTCTTTACTCTTAATAAAATGTTAAATATGTGCAATTCATGTTGCGCGTCGTATCGTAATTGCGGCGGGTTTTCCCAAAGATCTGCTCCTGACCCTTAACCCCCACCTTCCTGCGTGTTTCGACCCCCTTCCTCGCGATTTGCTTGCTGGATTTCACAGGAAGGCAGACACTTTCAAAAACGCCTCTCATCCATTTCCTCCTACTCCTAACAAGCTAACTATTTTTTGATGGAGAAATTAACATTTTTTGTTTTTCGAACGTACCAAACAGGAGGATAGGAGGGACAGCTTGCTCGCTTTGAGGGGCTTCCGAGGCCATGGGTGGCGGCGGACAGACTGTAGTACCGCAAAGCATCGATAGTGATACAGCTGAGGTAATAGTCCTAGAAAATTCTCTTATTTGGTCGCTTGAGGCGTTGTTTAGCGACCGACTTGTTGGGTAACGTAGGTGACTCGTGTAATCTGCCCCATTTTATGGTGACAACCATACCGGCAATACGTCGGCAATCTTTCATTCACAGTCTCTTGAATTAAAAAAATACAATTGTCTTTCACTCATTCTCAAAGGATGCATCCTCAACGAGTGTAAGGGTCGATGGTCCGCTCGCAGCCGGGAGACGGGAGGATCCGCTGTCCTTTTCCGACGAGGGGTCACCACTCGCATCCATCCCGCACGCACAGCACCCGCTGGACGGCATTATAAACTCAGAATCCTCCACTTCGGCTGTCAATCCTCTTCCCTTCACACTGCCTCGCAATATTTACGAGAAGCAGGACGTTGTCCCCTTCTATGACGCCCCACTGATTGTGGCAGTCGTCGCCAATGTGGTGTGGCCAGCGGTGCTTCTCGTTTTGACTGTTTGGAGCATGCTGGTGGTGATATATTTCCGCCTGGCTCGTTTTCTCTCCGAAAACGTCCTCCAAACTCCAGCAGTGCACGTGCACGACGGAGACGAGGCTCCTGTGGACATGGGTCTCTATTTCTTCGGCCTTGATAACCAGTGTGAGAAATGGTTGCCTTCCTCTTCCTCCTCCGCGGCAGAGGATCTTGCTCCCACTTTCCGCATGTCCCTCCTACGCGGGAGCAAGGGGAAAAAGAGCACGATTGATGCGAATCCCAAGGGTCAGTGCAAGTTTTTTGACCCCTGCAAACCCACTGTCATCTATGTCCACGGGTTTTCTCGCCGGACCACGGCCCGACGTTTTCGAGAGACCTTCAACTGGGCACACAGCGATAAGCTGTACGGTCTGGATATTAATGCCGCCGATCGATGGGTACGGGAAGGCTGGAATATCGGAATTTTCTTCTGGAACAATCATGCCGACGGTAGGTGCGACCGGAGGGAGGGGACGGGGGGTTGTTGGAGTGAGCGGTGCATTGAAAGGTGTTTATATCCCTGGTCCGCATGCGCTCCCCTTGTGCACAAGGCTCATCTGTCCCCCATTTCTGGTGTGCTCTGTCTTCCAGAGGAGGTTCCACAGGACACAGAGAGCAAAATATGGACCTCGAACGGCCGGTGCGGAATGCGCTATCGGACGATCTGTCCTCAGAGGGGTCGCGTCATGTACTACGCCTCCTCCCGCCCTTCCCCCTCCATTTCCCAAACCCTCGCGGACCTGTTGGCGGACGTGTTTAGGGGGGCTCAGGCTCCCTACAGGCTTGTGGGGCATAGTTTGGGTACACAGGTGGTCGTGCATGCCGCCACCCTGCTTAGCCAGCGGAAAGCGCGAGAGGAAGAAGAAGTCAGGTCGGCGACTGCTTTAGCCGCTGCAGCCGCTTCGGCGGCCGTGGCAGTTGCCAGGACGGGGGCAGCGGCCACGATGAAGGCAAAAATGGGGGTATATGCAAGCAAGAAAGAGAAACGAAAGACCGTAGCGGCAGCTAAACGTGCCGAAGCTGCGGCAATCTCAACGGCCGCACAAGAAGCCGCTTGTGCGGCAACGAAAGCAGCAGCAGCTACACAGGCCCCTTTGCAGCTACCGACACGCATCGCCCTGTTGGACGCGTTTGCCACGCTCGGCGTGAAGGCCTACCTGTCGGGATGGCCGATCATGGTGGTGGTGCAGAAGGAGGTGCTTGCCCTCCGAGGGCTTGGGATTGTGTTTGAACAGTTCCAGACCAGCTTGATCGGCCGCCGGGGATTCTTTCTGCGCCATTTGACCGCCTTCGTTCAGTTGGATCCCCCCGGCATTCCCTGGTACCGGCTGCGATCACGGCACGTGGCAGCAGTCTACATGTACTTCCTCTCCTTTGGTCATGCCGTGGACGGGCCCCGACTGAAAAAGGCCGACCTTCGCCGGCATCAGTCCGTGGAGATCTGCTTCAGCCTCCTCAATAGTGCGGGTGGCAGCTTGGGAAGCGGGCTGAACGGCCTCAAGAGCCATCTCCTCCCGGAGACGGAGGAAGAACAAAACGCCGACCCCAGCGCTTGGGCCATGGGGGCTACGTCGTGTGTCGCCCTCTCGACCCTTATCTCGGGCGCGTCGCCGTCTTCCCGTTCTCCGCCTTTGCGGACCTCCGTGTCCCTGTCTATTTTCCAACGTCGACACAGTGCAGGGACCTTGTCAAATCAGGAAAATCCGAACGAGAGCCTTCGATCCTTTCCGACCGACGATGGTGCCACTTCCCTCCCTTCGATGACGTCTCCCACGGACATGGCCACAGCGATTTTCCGGCGTCGGGTGCCCGCGCATAAGACGCTGGCCCTTGGGAACAAGAGCCTCAATTCCCTGCAAGAAGCCATGCCGCTTCTGCCACCTTTGTCGCCCACCATTCAACCCCCCCTCGCTCTTCCTCTCGCACCCGCTTCCAAGGTGACCGTGACGTCAAAATCGCAGGACGAAGCCCAGGTGCTGGGCAGGCAACAGCGGCATGAGTATTATTCGCACGGCGCCTACGAAGGGCACAACAAGAACCATTTGCGGTGGCTGACGGCCTCGGCGTATCGAGAGGTGGAGATTGGCGACTTTCCCCTCATGGCACGGGCAACGGATGCTGAGGTGCGTGAGCTGATGCTGGGAAACTATGTGTACAAGCAGTATCGGGGCCATTTGTTCTTGCGAGTTTCGCGGGCTTGGTAGCATGGTTTTTAGGCATAGATTACATAGGTCAGCGGTAACTGAACGGTTATGAGAACCATCTTTAAAATTTGATTGCAAAGCATATAATGCGATAACACCAGGAAGTAAAGGCGGAGAAAGACTTGTCGGGGAGTCATGTAAATGTACGCGTAGGTAATCAGCTAGAAATAAGACTTGAAAACATGCCCTTGGTGTATTGCTCTTTGAAAGGACATGCGTGCCATCTAGGAACCCGACATGGATAACTTCGTTCAGAGTTATGATAGATAAAGTGGCAATTGTATAATAAATACACATAGAGAAAACTGTGCTTGCAAGTATTTGTGTTTCTCCAAAATTTATTCTTTGAATCTTGAAGTGTTATTTCACTCTGTTTTTGCAAACTGTGCATACCACAGGTAATGTGTTTTGGTGTGGTATTTTTGATGAAGCACCTTCCTGGCCCATTTAGCTGTGTACTTGAGGGTATTTAATGCCCGGGGTTGATATCTTTTTTGTCCTGCGACTTAAACCACGGATATAGCGCTGATTGTCGTCCATGACTACCCATGGACAAATAAATGCGTCCACTTGGCTTCGTGTCCTCATACAACAAATGTTCAGCCAGACCATTTATCTCGCCGGGTCACTCCGCGAGAATCCACAACACGTACTACTCTTTAAGTACGTCGCGCTCATGATCAGGCTCCAACTGACGCATGTGTTGCCTTCTAAATTGGTACGTACTTGAAAATGAGTTCAGCGGGCCTGACAGGCAGGGCCACGCGAGTTTGATTTAGCCGCTGTCGTGTGGTCCTCCGATGCCCAAGTCAGCATGTGCCCTGGCCGGTGTCAGAACGCGCGGCCTCATTTATTTGGGTCTTGGCGAGACTAAAATTAAAGCGAACGTGCGTGTCATGATTTTTCTGTCAGGCGCCCTCTTCCTTATGGCCTTCCCGCCCTGGTCGAAATTGGGGCCTATGACACCCTTGCGTTCCCGGTAAGCATCATGACAGTGAATATAGGTAGTTTTAAAGGCAATGCCGCTCATTTGTGGTGCTTGTGAGCTCGCGATGTGATAGGAAGTGTGGGCTTGGTCGCCTGCGTTGATGATGACATGGCCCCGCAGAAAAGCGACGAAAGTCGGTGGCGTCGTCTTTTTCCTTGATGTGTTCTACCCCCTCCGAGGCCTTTATTCCGTCACCAATCTGCTCCGTGTGCTGCATGCCACACACAGCCATTTCTTCAGTGGCAGCTAGGTGTTTACGTGTGCCTCTGACGCCTTCGATCTTCTCTTCCTCCTTTTACCTCGTCACTTGGGCTCGGCCCACAACTCCTCTTGACACGCCCTCTCTTTTTGTTCACGTTCTCGTCTACCCCAAGACAATCGGTATTTACTCATTCTAAATCCACTTCTCCATTTTCATTTTCCGACAGGAGCGCTTGCAAGTCGTCTTTCAGAACTCTGTGAAGGCCACCGCGGCCATTTTTCCGCGCTGGGCCTTGTGGTACTTCTTATCTGACTTTGCCCTCGACAAAGCTTATCAAAGATGTCACCAGTGCAAGACCCGTTCCTAATACCTCCTCATCAATGCCGGACTGCTGGGACGAAACGCAAAATGTCCGGTGCATGTTCACCTTATACGTTATTGGCCGTTGTTGCTGCCACTGCTGCAGCTGCCAGTACCTTCCGTGGCTCCTCCTCCCTGTACAGTCCCATCATGGTGGATGCCTTTGCACCGCCTACTCAGTTCTCATGGGCTCCTCACAAATCTTCAACAGCGCAGAGGACGGCGCATTGTCAACGCGTCCCGTACTTTCTACCTACCACCTGTCTCGAAAAAGGCGGGGCAAGAATGAGACATGCCAGGGACAGATCTTCCTCGCCGGTCCACGCCATTAGCCCGTTCCAAGAGCAGTACCGCGATGACGATGGACTGCCGGAAAAGAAAAAGTCTTCGAAGGGGAAGGATAAGGACAAGGTTGCAGGCACTCAGGCTCCGTCGTCCTCCACGCCCTCCCTCCATGATGAGATCCTGACCAAGTTCAAGTCCCTTTTCGAGGGAATAGCCTCCATCGACACCCACGCGGATTCGACGCACGAGGAGGCGATTGCAACCCTTGCGGCCACTGCATTGGCGAAGACCAAGGGCGGGGCCGGGGGACGAGGGGGCAGCAGCTTGGTAACCCTTGGAAGTCCTTCCACTACGACCGTGTCGTTTCCGGATCAATCCCGCGCCGCTGATGTCGCGGCCACCGCTTTGCAATCACCTTGCGACAGTGCCTTGCCTGCCGCCGTCCCTAAATCTTCCTCCTCCTCTCCTTCCCCCTCGACGTCCCTGAGCGCCAGCGACGTGGCCTTGGGCAAGGTACCAGAACCCGTGAACGAAAATATTGCGCGAATCTCGAGCAAGGTGCCCAACACGTGGTTGGCCGTTTGTCATTCCTCCTCCCTCAAAAAGAAGGAGCTGAAAAAGATCTGGGTGGACGACAAGCCGATCTGCCTCTTTCGAGCCGCTTCGGGGGAGGTCAAGGCCATCAGCGACATTTGTCTGCATCGGGCCGCTGCCCTGTCGGACGGCTGGTTGGACGGGGACCTGGTCGTTTGCCCCTACCATGCCTACAAATTCGACGGTGAAGGCAAGCTCCGCTATATCCCGGGGGTGGACGAGGGTATGCTGGCCAAGAACAAGCGGACGGCGCGCACGGTGTGGTACAAAACCTTGGAGCAGGGAGGCTTGATCTACCTCTTCCCGGATGCCATGCGGGCCGGCGCGATTGAGCAGCACGTGAAGCCCTTCCTGATACCGGAGGAGGTGGACCCGTCCTTCCGAGTGGTGGAAGGCGTGGCGGAGATCAAGGCGAGCGCGAATTTGGTGGTTGAGAATTTGTTGGACATGCTCCACATATCGTACGTGCACTCCTTTGGGAACATGCAGGAACCGTTGCCGTTCTCGGAGAATTATGACTATTTTTTCGACGACGAGGCCTCTCAGCTCCTCCCGTACGCCAGGACCACCTTCAAATACCGGGCGGGACCTACTAGTATCAGTAAAGTGGTGGGCCAAGTCAAAGAGGTGGTGGTGGAGAACGAGTTCCACTTGCCGTACACGACGGTGACCCGCGTCAAGTTTGGGAAGGATGTCAAGACGATCTATGTGGTGGCCGTCCCCGTGGAGGACGGGTTGACCGTGGTGCATTACAAGCTCTACCGTAATTTCATGTACGTGCACCCGCAGGACGAGAGTCCCGTCAACAAGGGCCTGGACCATTTCTTCCAGTCGGTCATGCGTCTGACGTTGAACGAGGACAAGGAGATATTGGAGTCTCTGTATCAGGAACACCAGGCCGGGTATGTCTTGAGTCGGTACGACAAGCCTCTGAAAATCTATCGCAAAGCCTTGAAGGAATTCATGGAGGCTAGCAAGTCTCGTGAATTTTTGGCCGAAAGGCGCGCGTTGGAAATGGAACTCTTGCGCTTGATTGAGTGCACGGAGAGGGGAAGAAAAGCGACCCGGGGCCAACACTCCATGATTCTGTCGATCGTGCAAGGCTTGGAACGAGGCTTTGCCAGGCAGTTCAAGGACGAGGAAGGCGGGAATGGAGAGGTAGTAATAGAGGACAGCGCCGTCAATGGGACGTGGCATTTGGTCTATGCTAATCCTGGTGATTTAGCGTCCCTTCCTCCCGACGATGAACAGAAGGAGGAAGAACAACGGTCCCTCCGAATGCAAGACCTGCGCCCGGCATTGGACGCGACGGCCACAGCCGCGGCAGGGCCCTACCCATGGCGGACCATGACCCCAAGGCAGCAACAACGCATGACCCGTGAGGCGCGCGAGCGGATGCAGCAAGCAGAAGAGAAAGGAGGGTCGGCCCATTCCCTTCCAGCTGCAGAACCGGCATCCAAGCCTCTTCCCCGTTCTCCTCGGGAGACGGACGATGTCTTGCTGTATTCCGAAGAAAAATCGGCGCGTTTACAGGAGCGTCTGCGTTCCGCCGGTGGAGAGAGATATCTGCTAGATTTTACACCATCCAAAGGGCGGCCCTTGTGGGTGGACACAGAAGAATCTACTCAGACGATCGACACGTCGAAGAACCTTTTGTCGAACACGGCGGTCTACCAAGGGCTTCTGGGCATCACGACGAAGGTGGAATTGAACGGGATCATCTCCACTCCCGCGGGAGGCCAGAAAAATAAGGGCGATGCGCTGGGGGTGGAGGATGGAGGAAGGAACAAGGGCCATCGCCAAGATGTACAGTTCACCTCGGCAAAAGTGGACGTGGGGGGTTTCAAGGTGACGTTCCCACACATGGATGTGTTTGGCGTGAATGGCTGGCTGGATACGACCTTTGTGGATGAGCACATTCGAATATGCCGGGGAAACAGAGGCTCGATATTTGTTCTTACCCGGCGCCCGCTGACTGTGGCAGCCGTAGGAAAGGGCGAAGTGTGATTGACGTTGTGAACCTGATTTCTTGCACTGGCAATTTCGCTGACTATTGTTGTACAATTTTGTTATGATTATGTGTAGAGTTTGTGGGCCCTCGGTGGTGATTCCAACGAAAATTGAGGGCGATCTTGCCTGGTGGTCGCGTCCGGGGCATCCCTTCTTAATTTTTGTAGACATTTCTGCAATTTATTCGTCGGATAAGTGGGTCCAGGCGTGTTGGAGGATACAAATGCTCTGGATCCCCCCCTTTGTTTAATAGCATCCTCCGATGCTTCAGAGAAAGCATGTAAGATTTTGCAGGCGGCAAACAAGAGAAAGCCTTATGAAGCAGATGCGAAAGTACATCTGACGGAAGGCCCCTCGAAGAGCGAGTGGATTTACGTCCGAAAGGGAGAAGCCAAGATCCAGGTTGTCTCCCAGCAGCATCTGTACTTATCGCAGGAAAGCGCAACAAGTTTTAAAACCATTAGAAATGCTGCATTGGGCTCCTCGCTGGTCAAGAAGTGAAGTATCGGCTGTTGTGTCATAACCTTCGCCCGCGCAAGACGGAAGTGTGCACGCAAAGACATGTTGAATAGATGTGAAGTCGGTGACAAAAACATTACTCTGGCCCTGTTTTCTTTCCTATTCCCCCTTGTGTGATATGAGTGCATTCAACTTACGCGCCGAAGATCAAAGAAACGTTGAGTGTAATGCGGGTGGTGGTCCAGTTGTGTAAGAATGTGAACTTTAGTTGATATCTTTGTAAAGCCCTCGAGAGGTTGAGAATTGGGAGATGCGGTTAACGTGCGCGTACCCTGCATGTGTTGCAACAGGTGGACATTGCATGAGCATCACGTATGACCGAGCTACAACCGCCGTACGAAAGAAATAAAGAGTCTTGGACGAGATGTGGTTGGCGAGAAGGATGTTTGGACTTGCGAGGACTTGTGGGACGGGGGTAAGAGCCCTCGTCTGCGCGCAGGATTTTCGGGTACTCGCTCAAATTTTTTGTAGACTTGTTCGATGGACGGCGAAGCACTAAAATCGATATTTCGGGATATTTTTATTCTTCATAAGGTGGGATAGCACAGTCGCACATCCGTTTTCTCCGTGTCTTCGCGAAAACTATTTTCCGTCTCCCCCACCTGCTTCCATCGTCACAAGGGCCCCTACCGGCTTGCCTCAATCATTTTTACAGCTTTGTGCCTTATTCCCTTTTGCCACCAGTTTCATTCTTGCTGCTGTCGCTCCCTCTCGCTCCCTCCAAAAAGCGATAAACGCTGGAAAAATCTTTATTGCCAAGATCATTGACTTGCATCAAAGCGTATAATTGTTGCGCCGCGGCGCCCAACGGTAATGGTACTCCGACCACCTTGGCGGCGTCGCCTGCGATCCCAAGATCCTTCTGCATGAGCTTGGAGGCAAAGCCGCCTTGATAATCGTGGGAGGACGGGGCGGAGGGAACGACCGTTGGGCACGGATTGTAGGTCTCCGTAACCCAACTCCGACCACTGGAAGCATTGACCACGCCGTTCAAAATGTGCGGATCCATTCCCAGGGCCACGCCTAGCCGCATAGCTTCCGCAACTCCAACCATATTGATGCCAAGGATCAGGTTGTTACATATCTTGGCGATAGCGCCCGTGCCCACAGGTCCACAGTGCACCACCTTCTTGCCCATGTGCCTAAGCATGGACACCTCTGCCTTTTTAACGCATTGCACGTCTCCACCCACCATGAATGTTAATGTTCCTGCTTCGGCACCGCCTACTCCACCACTGACAGGCGCATCCACCATGTCCAGCCCCATCGTTTTGGCTCGGGCGGCCAGGGCCTTACTTGCCGTGGGATCAATCGTGCTACCGTCAATCAATAGCGTTCCCTTCCGGGCGTGAGGGATGATAATGTCACCGAATACAGCCTGGACGTGTTGCGTGGCCGGAAGCATGGTCATAATGACATGTGCTTGGCGTGCTACCTCCTCGCCCGAGGCAGCAACTCGAGCACCTTTCGCTTCGAGGGATGACATTGATTTAGGATTTGTGTCATAAATTACGACTGGAAGGTCCGTTTTATCCAGCAAGTTGCTTGCCATGCGTGATCCCATTTGCCCTAAGCCAAGAAAACCCAAGGTGACTCCTCCTATATCCATGGTCTCAGCCGTCGTGCTGCAGTGTCGTTGTCGCCAGTCTGCGTCAAAGCGAGAGAAGAGAGAGGAACGAAGCACAAGCCCACGTCTGACCAGCTTTGTCGGAGAACGGAGGAGCATACTATTTGTCAATCTGTTTGATAGACAGGATCGCTGTAAATCCCAGTAACTTCGTATGGTTGCATGCATGTGACCCAATTACGTTCCGTGACAGGCAGGAACAAGGAACCTCCTCCTTGTATTTTCGTTGTCCGATAGCCCAACCACATTTTCATCCACACCCACAATTGTTTACACGTTACGGCATAAATTTGAGGCTGCCGCACTCATACGCCCCACCTCGGCGTCCAGGATGACGTCTGTTTTTATTTTTAGTGTGTAATTGAAGCAAAAGGAAACCTCCCTCGCTGATATTCATGGAAACATGTGCGTGGCGATGCCTGCTTCAATAAAATGCCAGCCCCGGGCCATTCCACCCCGGTCCGAAACCATTCTTTCGACGGTCGCTTGCATTCCACATGCTGCTAGGGATAAATGTGATCAACTGGCTATAGTAACCATTGTATTCTGGCTCCATTTCGACGATAGGAAGGATAACTTGGTGACTTATCCCCCCTAACAAGCGTGACATCGTTTCTTTTTTTTTTAACTCCCACCGGACAAATGATCTACGTTCACAAAGCCACAGGCTCTGTGTGAGGCGATAACACACATGGCTCTCATTCAGCACGTCATGACGAAGAAGCTCTCCAGAGCACTGCTGGCGCGTCATAAAGCTGCCCCCTTGTGCCGATCCCTGCGTACCCTCCTTCCAAACGAGCAAAAGCCTCCTGATCCTTCATCGTCTTCCCCTTCGCCATTGCACCTGTCGCCCGCAAGCCAGTCCCTTTCACGTGTGTGGAGATCATTTTCCTCCTCCACTACGACCGTCGTGAGCACTGAGGAATGCCCCAATGCGCACCATCCTGAAGCTGCCGAATACCTGAAACGGTCTTCAGTTGCCGTCGAGGAAGACGACAAAGACCCTTTTTTCGACAAAACCTCAGCTTTGATGGAGGTTGAAGATCGACCCGGCGCTTTGGCAGAGATGCTGTCTTATTTTGCCGCCCACCACGTCAACATCACCCGTCTTGAGTCCCGGCCATCGAAAAAGCAATACGATGACCAAGGGCAGGGGCGGTTGGTGTTCGACATGTACGTCGATTTTGAGGGATCGCGGGGGATCGCACGGGTGGATGCATTGCTCCAAGAACTGGGCGAGCACAGCCGTTCGTTGTTGGTATTGGACAGGACGGAGGTCCCCTGGTTTCCCCGACAGGCCTGGCAACTCGATACGATCGCGAACCGTGTACTCGACGCCGGTGTGGACTTGACCAGTGACCACCCGGGGTTCTCCGACCCTGTTTATCGGGCTCGGCGGGGCGAGCTTGCTCAGATTGCCCGGCAATACCGGCACGGAGAGACGATTCCACACATTGCTTACATGCCAGCAGAGATCGCGACCTGGAGCGCGGTGTTTCGCCGCCAAGACGAGCTCCTGCGTCGGTATGCCTGCCGGGAATACCTGGACATCTTGGCCTTGATGAAGGAGGAGTGCGGATACGGGCCTGAAAGCATTCCTCAACAGGCGGATATCACCCGTTTCCTCGCCCGGCGTACCGACTTTCGGCTGCGCCCTGTGGCAGGCTTGCTCTCCTCCCGGGATTTTTTGAACGGCCTGGCTTTCCGGGTATTTTTTTGCACCCAATACATTCGGTACGTGACTTTGCAATAGTAGTGTCTGGTACCTAAACGTGCTTTGAATTTGGTGGTGGCTGATAGACATGACGTCAATTTTGCTCGCTGGCAGGCACCATTCCCGTCCCTTGTACACACCAGAACCAGATATCTGCCACGAGCTCCTAGGGCATGCGCCGCTTTTTGCAGATCCAGATTTTGCGGATTTTTCGAATGGTAGGGTCGATTTAAACTCGGGAGGGCGAGGGAGGGAGGGAAGAAGAACGAGGACGTTGTGGAGGCACGTGGCTACCACAAGGCCCCTTACGGAGGGTCAGGATAGCTGTTGGAGCGTAAGGCTTCCTTCTAAACAACCCAATATTTCCCCCTGCCTCATATTCTCCAGAAATTGGCCTGGCCTCTTTGGGTGCTTCGGACGAGGAAGTCAAAAAGCTAGCCGCGTGCTATTGGCATTCCGTGGAATTTGGTCTCTGCCGGCAGCACGCAGCGGGGACGGAGCTTTCTCAGGAACAAGGCAACGAGACCGCTTCCAGCATCAAGGCCTACGGGGCTGGTCTGTTGTCGTCTTTTGGTGAGCTGGAATACGCATGCGGGGGGGAGGAGGGGAAGGAGGGAGGCCCGACCTTCCTGCCGTGGGATCCCGAGGTAGCGGCCGTGCAGTCGTATCCCATCACCACGTATCAACCTGTGTACTTCGTGGCCGAAAGTCTGCTCGATGCAAAGGAGAAAATGAGGAGGTACTGTGAAAAGAAAATGAGCCGGCCATTCTACGCCCGTTACATGCCGGAGGTGCAGAGCATATGGGTAGACAGAGCCGTGCGGGTGGGGAAAAAGGTGGGCTAAGAGGACGTGAGGAAGTGAAGTAAGGGACAGGTGGCAACGCACATACTCCGCACTCATTGAGTGACTGGGCCTTGCCACGACGCCAGCGTCAAGCGTCGAGGCATGCCAGGTAGCAGGGGGAAGGGGGGGCAGGGAAAAAAATCAAGTGAGTGCCATACGCATTCTACTGTATCAACGCGAGCTTTGGAGTGGATCGGGATGCAGAGAAGGAGGTGATAGAAAGTTGTAGATGACTTCCTTTGGAGTGGACCGGGATGCAGAGAAGGAGGTGATAGAAAGTTGTCGATGAGAAGGGTGTTACTCGATAGGGTCTAAAATACTGTACATTGCGGGGGGGATATACAGATCGCTGAGTCACAGTAGCCGGGCTGTGAAGAAAGGGCCGTAAGAGATGGCTTGATGTAACATGAATGCTATCGATAGCGCCAGTAATAGCTTTTACAAAGAAAAAACGACCGATTTTACAGACAATCTAGCACACGGATTACAAGCTTTTGCGTTCCGAGGCCCTCGATTTTGAATCTCACACGTATGTAGAAGGCCTTTACAAGATAAATCACAAAACTATATTCGACAAACATCATTTGTAGACAATTCGTGGTATGGGGACACAATGATCGATGGCTGTATGCTCCTTGAACGGGCGAGTCCGAAAGGGACCAAGAAAATTCCCCAAGGGACGAGAGAAATAGGTAGGTCAGGAAGGCTCGCGTGCATCCCATCTTCTGTGCAGAAATTTTGATGAAGATCGCTAGCTTCAAGCTTCCTCTCTGTAGATGGTCACAATACAGAAGGTTTTATGAGGCACATACTTTTACAAGGCTTGAAACACAGTAGGTGCAGCCAATGGGGTCACGTCTCCCACGGGCAGGCCAGCCTTGTGCAACAAAATTTCGCCCACAAGACTCCTCTGTCCTTGTCCTGCTGTGTCATGCATATCTTTCCTTTCGGAGGAACAACGGCCCGAAGAAAGCTGTTTCAAACCATCCTCTACGCGTTGCCGCAGCTCATCCGCTCTATCGCGGGTCAATGCCCCGCCTTCTCGCCAGGCATATTGCACCTCGAAGGCGCGTGACTCCTGCAAAGCAAAATCCACTTTTTCTTCCTCCAATTCGCTGCTGCTGAAACCGCTGTTTCGGTTTTTGGGCTGATGCGACGGTGTCGGAGACAAGTAGCTTTCTGTGTACGTCACTTTTGCGACTAGCCTCGCGTCCTCCGGTCCGAGGCATTTTCCGATAGCAATTTTAAGTAGAGACGCGACTTCCGAGTGGCTTTTCATTTGCAACCAAGGACTGATCCAAAGGTGTACCTCATGCGCGTATACTGGGCCGTATATGGCTTTGCGATGCAAAAAAGAAGGCCCGGAGGCAGAGGAGGAGGGGAACGGTCGGAGCAGCGTGTAAAGCTTGGGATCCTTTCCATCGTAGACGTACGAGGATTTCCCCCCGTCTCGGTGCCCTGACGGCTGATACATACCTTTGACATATCTCGTGTCACGGACCGGGAATGCTTCGTTGCTGTATATGGCTAGACCTGCATCGGCCGCGAACCCTGGCAATCGCCACGAGGCCTTGTATGCCCGCTTATCCCGGGCTTCCACACCGCTTTGACCCCGGCAAAGCGCGAGCAGGACTTCTCCGCCAGGATTTTGGAGGATGTGTGCTGACTTGCTTAAGAACGCGCTGAGTAATGCACGGTTCATCTTGATATTACTCTTGCCGGGGACGTGGGGGAAATTAAAAATGACACGATCGTACTTGCTGGAGATTTTCCCTGGCAGCGCAAGGTCATTGAACGAATATGACAAATCCTTTCCATTTTGCGAGGAGCGCGTTTCTATCTTCTGTATCTTTTGCCAACGTGATGGGCTATTCAGATCCTCTGGAGCAGTTATATGAGCTAAAGCTGAAGCTATGAACGTAGATGACATAACATCCAGGCCAAATCCTATTGCATTTCCCAAAGAACCTTTACCGCTTTTTTGCTCACGAAGCATTTGGAGGTTTCTTGCGGCGGCTGGGTACCTTTGTATCAAATCGTCCTCGTCTCTCTGCAAGCATGTCGTAACAAGTTTCACATTTGGAGGCAACCAAGGGAGAAGTGCCGCTGAAAAAGAGAAGTCCCCGTCGCCTACGACTAAAATAGTGCGAACAGATTGACCAGTGAATGTAGTTGGATGACACGCAGGTATTGCCGGTGGTGATGGCGACTGCGAAGGGGAAGTAGAGAACGCACAGGAAAAAAGGCATAGACGATCTCTACGCGCCTGGCCACTGAGAAGACAGAGCGTGGCCGCCGCCAGCTGCAATCCTCTGTAGGAAACCCTTTTCTGTGCAGATAGTATCGCTGCTAGCCACATGCCTAGCTTTAAAGTTAAGTGGTTGCTTGAGATGTTTTTCCAATTAAAGTATCCCTTACTTTAAGGGGGTACGTGGCCTTACACCCACTTAATTGCACTGTAGTTAACGGCGAGAGGGAGGAGGTTCAACGTGTTGGTTGCCAAAACTTTTATAAAATCGAGAAGCACCGGGCTATGCTGCTTTTTACACAATCATTTTTTACCCTATCCAATATATGCTGAATGGATCCGCTTTTCCCGTACGGACGGGATGAAATTAGCTTCGCTCGTAGAGGATTGAGAGAAACGATACGAGCAGGGCATGGGTTGTTAAGTTGCACGTTCCTCTCGATGAACGAAGATGATTTGATGTATATTTTTGTTACCTACGCTCTTGATGCTGTAGCAAAGACGTAAGTGAGGTCTGGATCCTCTCAAGAGGTGCCCACCACAAGATCATACGAGAAGACGTGGATCGTGTCAGAAACGAAAGAGGAATCAGCAGGAGAATGAGGATCCCATATCTGGATTTCGTCGACTTCTTCTGGGGGAAATGCTCCGGTCATTTGTCGTCTAAAATATACAACAGGCCAGACGTAATTTTTGTTAGAATTATCCTCCTGGCTCTACTTCCAATGCTTCCTTCCACCTACATCATGCATCTCTCCTAATTCTTCTCTCTTTCTCTTGCCTTCATTTCGGCTTTAAAACCGGCCCTGCTAAAATTCTGTACAGCTGTAATTTTGCCACTTAAACTAAAATTTTCTTTGGAACTGACAGTCAATGCACAAACTTTTTCACATTCTCGACTCCCAAAATTGTCGCTATCACGCGCTGCCAACAGCTCTCGGTGCTCCCCCCCCCGCAGCTACAGCTACTGCAGCAGCAGCGGCCTCAGCAGGGGACAATCCCCACATTTTCCACTTCAAGACTGGCTCCAGGCTCTTGTCATGCTCTACCGCCGAAGCAATCAGACGACGCGCCTCTTCTAACTTTCCACACTTAGATTCCATCAGCGCCCAGGCCTGGAAAAGACGTGCGTGGGTAGGGTAGCGCGCAGTGGCTTCTTGAAAAAGTCGTCGGGCTTTCGAGTAATCTTCCGCTCGCTGCTCAAGAAGGGCCCAGAGGAAGTAGGTATGAGCAATGGCGTTCTCAGTCCGGTAGCCTTTCCATTTAAACAGGAAAAGCTCGTAAAAGCGACGCGCGATTTCCATTTTACCAGACTTGATGGCCTTACGCGCAGAGATGTGCAGCAGCGCACAGCGTACATCAAGGGGGTCGTTGTCAGAGGGAGGAAGGGGGCGGTAATTCTTGATCATAAGCCCTGAGTCTGAAATAACAACGTTGCTAGCAGATACGGAGGCGGCAGCAGTCGACGACGGTGATGGGGAAGGACGGGTCATGCTGGAAAGGCTAGGGGGTCGCAATGTCACATATCCATCGACAGGCATGGGATTTAGGAGCAGCATGCCGCAGAAAATGAAGGCGAAAATTGACGCGCACCTAGAGCGGCAGAATCGGGAGACAAAGGCGGAAGGCATGATTGACGGTGACCTTGTTTGAGAGCTGAAGCAGTGGAAAGTCTATGATTAGTGAAACAGAATTGGAGGAGAAAATACATTTGGTGAGAAAAGTTTGCCATGTGTGCCCGTCAGGGGCGGGAAGAACCTTGACACTTTTTGGATGTCATGTGTTCGGCGTCACTACGAACAATTTTCAGGAGCAGTACAATAATGTATAAGGGTCAAGCTGGCGATAATTTTATTTGTGTAGCGTTGCACGAAATACCCTGGTAATTTAATGCGGAAAATAAGGCATCTTATGCGTGCTGCGCGTGCTGCTTGTGTATAACTCGCTCACGAAACACTCAAGCAAGTAACGAGTCGCCCCAGCACGATCGGGCTCCGACTAGCAAGAGAAAATAAAGGGCGATGCTGACAAGGTTGGGCAATAACCACGCATTTTACATGACCAAAAGAGTAGAAATAGAAATACCTAACAAGCGACGGATGAAAAAAGTTGCCCGGGGCTCGTGCCTACGGGCCCTTTCAGGCGCTAGAAGCAAGCACGCGCCAGGGCGTGTGTCTCCCAACGGATTTTCCAAATTTTAAAAAAAAACATCTATGCCTCCTCGATAGAGTTGGTCAGGCTCGACGAAAGCATTGAGTCTTGCCACCGGCTTCATCAAACCAATTAAATATTACGACGAGTCCATGTTATTCGGATAAGAAATGACAAGGCCGCTCCCAACAAATTCTTGATATCTCATCAGCGCTCTTCCATCCTGACTCTGGCTTCATCGCTTATAGCTCGCGTAAAAGTGAGAGAGGAAACCATCCTTGCTTCGGTGCCTATGATTAAGAACGCCATAAAGCTGAAACTCATCACATCGCTTATGTTTCCATTCGGAAGGCAAACCAACGATCTCATTCTCATGATAACCGTGAGCCAGAATCTTATCGCTTTGGCATGAATCCTTGCGAAAGCTTGAGGTATAGTTGGTATACATAAAAATCGTGTTCTTGTTTTCATTATCAGCAATTACTTGATGTGCCATAAAGCTTTCTACAAGGTCCCTTGTAGGATTCTGATTCGCTTCCGCGCATGGATTACCGGCATTCGAATTGCGTCGTACGCACAGCGCTTTCCTCGCCACTTCTTGCGGTCCTCACCGAATTGAACGTTTTTATCGTCGCATCGGCAGGGAATCGAGAATCTGCTCCTCCTACTAGAATCTCGTATCAATCGGCCTTACTCGTATGCTCCTCCCTCCGAACCTAATTCTTCCTAAGATGTACAAATGCACACTTGCCGGAAGCTTAGCTTGAATCCCCGCCGTTCGCACAGATTCTTTCCCATTCACACACGGTACACCGACCTGAATTTCGCCTTCTTAGATCGAGAAGAGAGGGTAATCGTCCTTCATCTCATCGTCCAAAAACTCGTCCACATAGTCTTCGATGACGGCCTCCACGCTCCCGTCTCTTGGAAGACCCAAGGTTTCTGCGCGTGGACTTCGCATGACCTGCGGGAACCTGCCCACTATCCCACTGACCCACGGATCGATCTTGACAGACACCTCCCCCATGGGGATCCCACGCCCCTGGGCGATTTGCCGGGTGTGGAACAAGAGCTCCTCCATCGTGGTTTGCAACGCCGGGAGGTTCACGCTTCGATCCCCCCCCAAGGACTCCCCCTCCACCTCGGCCAAGGCCAGGAGCCCCTTGATCGTGCGCCGGGTGCTGATCACGGGGTGGGTCTGGCGGGGGTCATAGGGAATCACGTAGTCGTGGCCCATCAAGAGCTCCCGAACCACTGCCGAGAAACATCCCGTCGACGCCCCATTCTTGTTCCCCGGCCGAACGATCACCGTCGGCAACCGACCCGTGCGGCCGTCTACCCACCCTTTCCGCGTGTAGTCGTTGACCATAAGCTCCCCCACTGCCTTCGTCATCCCGTAGGTACTTTGCGGGGTGAGTTTCGTCTCGTCACTCACCTCCGGGTGCGGCCCAAAGGCAGCGAAAGAGGAAGGGAAGACAAAGCGGACAGGCTTCTCCCCTACTCGACCGCTGGCGTGTAGGGCACGGGCTTTCTCTAACAGGTTTTGCGTGCCATCTGTGGGCGATAGGGGAGGATTGGAGATGGTAAAAAAGGATGTCCTTTCGAGCCATCAATGGCCACCTTGGACACGGGCGCGTCCGGAACGCCCAGAAAGATGCCCATTTATGCGTGTCACACGTATGAAGGGGAAGAAATACTCACCCAGGTTGACGGCTACACATTTATCAAACTCCTCCTCGCCCTCCCCGCTCATCACCGAGGCCAGGTGGAATATTGTGACGTGGCCCCCCTCCGACCCCGGCTGCATGGCTTTCTCCACCAGCTTGCGGTCTGTTATGTCCCCTCTGAAGTTCTCCACTCTGATGGCGGAAGATGCTTGGTTGGTAGGTCCATGCGGGAAGACTTGGACTTTTGTATCACAGGGCACATGAGTATCCGCGCCTGTGTCAAGAATGGCGATGCTATCCAGGGCCCGACCATTGAGTCGTTTTCTTCGTAGTAATACCTGACACAAGTATCTGCCTAAAAACCCGCCGCCACCGGTAACTAAGACTTTGACGCTGGGTAGCGCAGACACCATAGTGAAGTGGAGGATGCCAGCACTCCTAATGCAGCACGCCAATGATCAGCTTCTCCCTTTGGTAGCACCAGATCCTGTGTGATTTGTGTGGTGTTGTGAGGCATGGCACACAGGTTGACTTGACATGTGTCTGTGTGCGGCGCATTTTTGACGGGCTGAGCGGGGCTGAGAGCGTGACCTAAGTGCAAGCAGATAACTTGAAGGACACCACACACAGGAAAAATGGCACACCGGATCCTTCCTCATTTCTGCCTTCGCATGCGATCTTGGCCATGAATGCCAAGTTTTTTCGTGTCTTCCTGACACAGGAACGTTGCGCAGAGATGTGTCGACGCCCTTGCGTGGTATTTTGATCTATATGATCAGACACCTCCCACGTCCCCATCCCCCACAAAGTAGAAAAAGCGGATCATGTTGGTGGCATTGTCCATCGTGCACTCCCGCCATGTCCTTTGGCTCGTGCGCAATGGCCATGAAAAGGCTTTAAACTCTCAGCCTCGTTAAAATGAGGCCTAGGAATTGTACTTCAGGCGTCGCTGTAGGATCAAACATTGTACCTGCGAGACATGCTGTTTTTTTATCGCTTTAAGCGCGAGCCCCAGCGTGCGGAGCTGGATATCGGAGAGCCGCCGGTCGGTTCACAACCCGAAAGCCTCTTACAGTCGAGTGTTGCTCACCTTTTTCATCCTTTTGCACCTTGCAGGAGCTGCAGGGTGGTAAGGAACGGATTGCAAAGATTGGAACGGTCTCTACGGATGAGGCGTTTGCTGTGTGCCGGGGGAAGCGTGGCCGGGAGAAGAACTAGCGGTGCTGGAAATGCGTCCTTGACTCTGTTCGGTAAACCGACATCTTTACCACTCACGCAAGCGACACCATCAGCATCCCTTTCAACCGCCACACGGTTGATGGATCGGATAAATTTTGAGCCTCAGAAATCCGGATTGGACAGTAAAGCACGTCGGGATAAAAGCACTCCACCACCGACCCGCCGGTCAGGCGCCATCGCATTGAAAGTCGGAATGCTCGGCGTCTATGACCAATGGGGCCGACGGTACGCATGTACAGTTCTTCAGCTTGACGCCGTTCAGGTAGTGCAAGTGAAAAAGGAGGCGACGGATGGATACACTTCGGTGCAACTCGGGGCGGGAGAAAAGAAGCTGAAGAACGCCTCTCGACCTGAACGAGGCCATTTGGACCGTTGGATTGATGGACACGGCACCGCAGCACCCAAACGAAAACTCTGGGAATTTAGAGTGACGCCAGATGCGCTCATGGCCCCAGGCACCCCGGTGTTAGCCCAGCATTTCGTGCCTGGCCAGCTGGTGGATGTGGTCGGGACAAGCAAAGGCAAGGGTTTCCAGGGCGTCATGAAACGATGGAATTTCAAAGGACAAGGGGCATCCCACGGCGCGTCCCTTTCTCATCGATCCTTGGGCTCTACGGGACAAAATACGTCCCCTGGCCGTGTCTTCAAGGGGAAAAAGATGCCGGGTCGTCTTGGAGGAGAGAGGGTGACTGTGCAAAACCTCTGGCTGTATAAAATTGACACGGAGAGAAACCTCCTGTACGTGAAAGGGCACGTGCCAGGACCGAAGGGAACCTACGTGCGAGTCAGCGATGCCATCAAAGGCGCCCATTTTCCTGTGCCGCCCCCCGTACCCACGTTTGTGCCCGAGGCAGGCATCGCCTACCCGGGGGAAATCACGGCGCAACTTCCAGAAGCGGATCCTTTGATACCGCCAGAGGGGAGGGACGATGAATAAAGAGCCAGAAAGCAAGTGAAATTCAAAAAGGAGGACCGTGTCGCCCGGAAGAGAGACGAACATGGCGCGTAGATGATGGTTGTTTTTTCTGCTTTCTATGCTTCTGTACATGCCACCCAGCCCAGCCTTTTTTTCCAAGAATCGATGCCTTGCCGGCATAAAAATTTATTCAGTACATATACAAGTGATCACCACCGCTAACCAACCGCTAACCAGGCGCTTGCCTTGCCGCAAGAATTACTTGTAGTCGTAAAACTCCTCAACAGTCGACCAGCCCACGGCCTTCTGGATCGTTTCCAGCCTCTTCTTGATGCTCCCTCCATCGCCCACGGGCTGGGTCAACGGGTAGAGGAAGGCCATTTGTCGTGAGGCGGAGCGGAAGAACACCAAGCCATCTTTCGGCGATAAGAGGAATTCCAAGTCGTCCACTCCGCCGGGGGGTACTTTGCTCGGCGCTTCCGCCCGGAGATAGTATTGCTTGCTTCCGTTGTCGATTTCCACAACCTTCAATCCTTCCTGGGCTTCCACTGCACGGACGAGGGACAACCATGCGGTAGGCACGTCTTCACCAGCCCCATTGAAGACCCAAGGGGACATGTATTTGCTGGGATTATTCACACTCGTGGAACTGATGCAGTTTTCAGCAGACAAACAGCGCTTCGGCCGTCCCGCGACAGGATCTATGCCAAAACGATCGCAGGTCACAATGGTGAAAGAGGGATTGGATTCACTGGTGCAATCCTCCAGGCCCGGGAAGGCACAGGCAGACGGAGGAAGGACCGTCAGAGGGAGGAGGAGAAGGACGCTTTCGAGAAAGCGACCAGAGATGGCTGATCCAAGCCGGCTGGCAACCGAGGAGGGAAATGAATGAACATCAATGGCTGACGACGTTGAAAGAGTCTCAAAGTGTGCTAGGGGTGTGTGAAGTCGAGGTGGCGAGCGCCAGGCATTTGTAGACCCGAGAAGAGTAGAGAGAACGACAATTTTACCGCCAAGGGATAAACGAAAAGTTCGACCGCCGCCCATGAGATTTCTGTAATGGCGAGGTTTGAAAAAGGAGATTCTTGAATGATGCTCATACTGCAAACCCTTGCGAACTTGATGCGGCACGAAGAGTACAAAAAGCACTTGATCCGTATTTCGTATTATAGATGGTTAATTATTCCATTTCTCATGTATCAAATACCAACCTTACTTTTTCGTATGAACAGCATTCCCAGCTTATTTGTGGTCAATATTGTAACCATACAATCTCAGTCTGGCCTTACACCCTCTTTCGTAGGTGTGTGCCGCAAAGGGCAAAGGGCAAAGGGCGAGGAAGCGAGGCGTTCCTGCTCTTGTCTCCTCCCCTTCGAACAGCGAGAAGAAAGGATCCTCTCCATGGTACTCACCACAACGTCGCCCGGGTATAAAATTAATGCAGTATGCCCGCCCCACCACCCGTCCCTGTATGGTTTTTCAATTGTGCCCCGTCTTTTGCGGGCACATACACGGGTGGTGTGCTTGAACCCTGTATCTTGGTGACGCATGCTCTCGCAGCAAATAAGCGACTACTGGCTTGGCCCCTCTGACAAGTCATACCTGGAAATTTGATCTTCTTTTACTTCACCGCAATGGCTATAATGGCATTAATAATGAAAGTCATCGTTGCCTGACCTACGTCGCATTGTAAATCGCGCATGGTGGACCAGGGTTTTGTCTCTATTGTGTCATGACGGGATTGGACCGACCCAAGACCACTCATCCGAATCAGAAGAGGTTTCGATTGACCATGTTCCGCTTCCCCTTTGAACTCTACACATAGACCGCGGTTCTCCCCTTCTTCCCAGTCGTTTCACACCATGAAGACCTTCGCCGTGCTCACCCTAGTGTCCCTTGCTATGTCGCAAGCCTTTCTGGCTCCTACTCCTGCAGCTTTCGGGTCTAGCAGATCGGGCGTGCGATCCATGGCGACTGGTGCCCGTAGCATGAAAATGGAGAATTTCAACCTCCCTATTGGAGAGGACCAGGCGGAAAATGTTCCCTCCACCATTTTGGGAGAGGCCAATTACCGGAAGTTTGTCGCGTCCTACAAGCCCGATGGCATGATCGTCGGCGGGGCGCGCTACCCTTTGTTCAGGCGAGTCTCGGAGCTTAAGCTGCTGTCTTTGACCGCGGAGACAGGTTTATTGTCTCGATTGGAAGAGCTTGGTCTCAGACTGAGTGACCTGGAGAAGTTGCTGCCTTTGGTGGAGGAGCTAGAGCTGTTATCCTTGGCGGAGAAGAACCAAGAACTCATCCTGCAGACATTGGCGCCCATTGCTATCGAGCAAGCACCAGCACTCCTACCCATCCTCACTGGAGTGCTTCGCACGCCTCCCGCTACCTTTTTTGCGGTTGCCGCCGCAGCTTTGGCGGCTGAAGCCGGGGTTGTGCTGGTCAGTGGGAACCCCCTTATCGATGTCTTGGCGGGGATTCCTCTGGTGGGCTTGGCGGCTGTATCGGCCGCAACAGGCACCATCCTTTCCTCTGGCGTCCCCATCCCTTCCGCCGCACCGAGGAGGATCTCGTCTAGCGGTGGAGGCGCAGACGTGACGCCCGCTTTCAAGGTCGGCGGGGGCAAGAAAGGCAGAGTTAAGGCGGCTAAGGTTGTGGCGTCCGCGGTAGGTTGCCCGACAGGCACTGTTTTCAACGTCTCATGCCCTTCCGTACTCTTTTGGGACAGGTCGTGACACCCAGTCTATTTGCTGTCTGGTCCCCTGTTGCGCCAGGTGCATCACACCCTCCTTTTTCTCAACCATACCCTTTCGCTTGCACTTCAACCACAGCCTGTTGCTGTCGCCCCTCCCAAAAAGTCGGCGGCTCCCGTCGTCCTCGGCCCTCTCTCTGCCCCGGCCAGGGGCGGGGCTCCCACAGCTCCTGCTGCCAGGCCCACCCCTTCTCTGAAGGCCAAGCCTGCGGTAAAGCCCGCGGTGAAATCAGTCGCCAAACCCGCCGCTAAACCTGCCGTGAAGCTCGCCACTAAAGCTTCCGCGAAACCCGCAGCCAAGCCCGCTGCCAAGCCCGCTGCCAAGCCTGCTCCCGCCGCGAAGAAACCTCTGGGGATCAAAGCAGCACCCGCGCCCCAAAAGGTAGCGGCTGTGGCAGTCAAGAAGGCTGCAACGGCTCCCGCGCCGGCACCAAAAGCAGTCCCTGCAGCAGCTAAGGCGTCTCCCCTCCTGTCTGCCAAGGCCCCCGCGGCGTCCGGCAAAGGTAGTTTGGCGAATATTGCCAAGAAGGTCGCCAAGAAGTAAGCTTTCCTTTGAGACGTGACCAGGAAAAGGAAAATGACAAAAACCCATGTGAAGAAATTGTGGAGGGAATGAAGGATCGATGGTGGCAGTGCCTGTTCACTCACAGCCTGAAGTCCTTGAAGTCTGATGGAAATTGGTTTGACTGCATTCGTCTTCTTATGGATCAGATGTCTGGAACGCAGAAAGAATGAAGGGTAAGGACTGAAGAGCCGTGAGGATGTTTGTCATGTCTGCGTGGCCTCGTGGATTGTGGGCAGGTTTGGGAAGGATGGGATTTTTTTGTATGTGGTATCTGTCTGGTGGTTTCATATGAATCTGGCGCGGGTTAATTACTTTCCTTAGCGTGTATGGAGCGGAAGTGTAAGGGGAGAAGACGATAGGTACAAGAAAACGCGGGTTTTTTCTTCGGTTAATATATTCCATGCAGCACAGCCTTGCAGCTGAGTATGGATGACATGAAAACAGACCATACTTTGACAAGCTTCCTCTAATGCTTTTACGTAGCTTGTCCAGTGTATTTTGTCTTTTTCGTTCCTAGAAATATGTTTCTTATCATAGTGCTCCCTATGAGAGGTTGCGAGACAGATTAATTTTATACGACACAGGTGCACATTGCCTCTGCGAGATGCCTAGCCCGTACTGTGAATTCAACATTGTCCTGAGATATCAACTCTTTACATGACACAATCTGATAGCCGTGTTCGCCGCAAGTCAACCTTTGCCTCCGTACGCCCGCAAGGCGGGGCTCGGAACTCCGAGAAAGATTGTGACGTCACACTGTTCGTCAACTGCCGGCGCCGACGTGGACCTGCGGCCATAGGATCTCCTTCATCTCGAGCCCGAAAGTCATAAAGGGTGACGGGGACGGGGCGGCTTGCGGCTTCTGGTTTTTCTTATGTGCATATGTGGTGTACATGCTGTCCAGTGCAGGCATATTAGCTCCTTGCATTTTTCCGCGTGGCGAACTTTTATGACAGGAAACCTAGCGTCACCGCATGAGCACTCGGTGTTCCAAGTGGATGAAGTTATAATGTCATGGCACTGCATATCGGCAGGATATGTAAAGGGTTCTCCATTAAAGGCATGAAGACAATGACTTCCAGCAGTATTGCTCACTTTTTCCTTCCCAACATACTCCTCCTGCAGGCAGGCCACCTCCCTGGCTTCTCCCTGAAGGCCTGACCTGACACCCCCTTTTGGCACGTTTCACCCCAAGCCCCGCACCTCCAGACACCGTCAGTGTGTTAAAACCCTGCTGTTGTCGTGGCAGGCTCGCCTACGCCGTGGTCGTCGTCTGCGGCTTGAAAGCCTTCGCCATTTTAAAGAAGTGTTTGGCAATAATTTACGCTTTAGACTTCGTTGTCACGGACAATACTAGCACCACATCGCGACACCTCCAACATACAATCCTTGTGACATGACCGTGGGTATGGCTATCCAAGGCGTGAGCCCCCTGAGCGACATCGGTGATTTGGCGGCAGCCTGGACCTTGGACATCTTGATCCCTCGGCTGTGCCTCGCCATTCTCTTCCTCTCCGTTTCCCTGGTGAAGCTCACTCTCCGGTACCCAATCCGAGTCTACGTCGGCGCCAATCCTGTGGTGCGCAGCATTGTCCAGCGCTGCCCATCCTTCCAGAAAGACTACCGGCCCCCATCGTGGGCCTGTGGGGCGTGGGCGCAGGCCGTCATCTACATGTATCGGAGCTGGCGCAACAACCACCTTCGGGGTTTTGCCCGGGAAGTGATCCGATTGCCGGACGGGGAGTGCGTGTCCTCGTACTGGATGGCGCCTCCAGGTCCCATGCGGGACGCGGTCATGCAGTGCAAGGTGGACGGGAGGGAAGAGGAGACCGACGCGATCATCGAGGCCTTAGTATACCATATGCCCTGTGACGAGAGACTCCCCCCGATCGTGATCATATGCCACGGCGTCTTTCAAAACGGCGCGGATCTTTATGATTTCTGCAGATTCATGACGGAGACGTGTGGCTATGTTGTCTGTGTCTTCAACCGGAGGGGAAACGACATGCCCTTGTCCCGGGCCCGATTCAACACAGTAGGCGACCAGGCTGATTTCAGGTTCATTCTGTCTAGATTGCGGGAATTTTTCCCAAACAATGGTTTCTATGGCGTCGGGATCAGCGCAGGGTCGAGCTTGCTGGCCCGGTATCTGGGGGACGCGGGGGAAGAGTGCGAGTTGGAGGGAGGGGTGTTGATCTCAGGGGGCTACGACATGGAGCTTTCCTTGAGGCACATGACGCCTCTAGCGGATTTGGTGGTGACCACGCAGGCCAAGAGCTTCTTCTTGGAGCGGAATGAGGAGACGTTGGCCAGACAGGATGGCCCGGGCCTGCAACGGTTGAAACGGAGCCGTTCCATGCAAGAGTTCCATGAGCACTTGCATGTCTTCGACGGGAAAGCGTCGCGGGAGGAATACTTTCAGACGCACAATCCAGCATTGGTGCTGGACCGGATCGCCCGTCCGGTCGTGTACATTAATGCCTACGACGACATGTGCTTCCCCGGGCATTTCACCTTCCAATACAAACACTTGGTGGAACGGTGTCAGCTCGCGACGATCGTGCATATGGAGAGGGGCGGACACGGGACGTTTTACGAAAATTGGGACGCGGGTTCCTCCCGGGCCTTTCAATGCGTGAGGGAGTTTGTGGATTGCATCCACAAAGAGTAAAGGAGTTGGGGAGAAAGGAGGAGGTGGAAAAGAAAAAATAGGCATAGACAGTCGCGCAAACTGTATGATTAAAATTTAACACAACTGATTTGAAATGGGTCCACGGGACGTTTCTGTGTACAGCGTCTATTTGGGAGGAGGCGGCGAAGGAAGATTCTCCCAGAGGGGCGGGGGGGGGGGGGGGCGGAGGCGAAAGGGATAAGAGGCAGAGGGTGGAGGCTCAAAAATGTACGATGCTGCCCTGTTGACGACACATTCCGGTCATTGGGGTGAATGGTAGCCAGTCGACTGTATCATGACGGACGGACGCAAAACTGAAAGAAAAGAAAGTCAACAGTAGCGATCTTTGTATGCTGTCTGGGCGCGCTGCTTTTCGGATGGGTATCCGCGACCCCCATCCGCCCGTTCAATGCCTGTGTGCCCGCCGTGGAATTTCTTTGGGGACTTCGTCGGGGGCACCTCAGTGCCTGATCACTTAATTGGGTTCTCGGCTTTCAAACCCTTGCAGGTTGTATTACACGTTTGGGCGTGGACGTTCGTCTGTTCCACCGGCAGCCAGCCCCACTACCTCGATGCATGCGAAGGCCCCTTTCCTCAGCACGGATGGGGTAGCCTGTTGACACCTGCTGGGTCGCTTGCCTCTCTTCTTTTCTTGCGTTCAGGCTCCCTTTCACATGCGGGGTACTGTGGCTCTAGTCATACAAAAGTACCCGAAACTTCTCTCCTAGTTCTCTACAGAGCGCCCCTCAGGCAACCTCATCTCTCTCCACTCCTCGAAACAAGACCATCGCCTCTCGCAGACTTGCTAAATCTTTGAAGATTCGAACACCAGATTTCCCTTCCATGCCCTCTCCTCCACCGCGAAGCCCCTACCGCCACCAGTCAGGCAAGCCGCAGCATTCCATCCATCTCCCCTACGCGCCATGAGAAAGGCAAGGGCCGCAAGAGGGTCCCGCGCGTCCTGATGCCTCCTTCCTGATCCCGGTGATTGGATCTAACCGACGGTTATGAACACCCAAAATGCCCCTCACTTTTCCTCAAACCTTGCCCAGCGCGTCTTCCCGTCCTATCATCCCCTCGCAAGGCCTCTTTCCCCGCTTCCAGTCCTCCTCCTCCACTCCCACCGGTCCCTTACATCCCACGCCGGGATGGCCCTCTCCTCCTCCTTCCCCGTTGCCGCCTCCCCCCCTCCCGGTGGCTCCCGCTGCAGGGTACACAGGCCCATAGCCGGCAACGAAGGGCCCGCGGACAATGAAAGCAGACAGGTAGGAGGGGCGACAATGGGGGGGGGGGAGGGGAAGGAAGAGGAAGGGAGGAAGGAGAGAGGGGGCGGGGGAGGATGGAATAGAGGGAGAGGGGTAGGAGGCTGGTGCATATAGCTGGGCTCGTCCTCCTCCTCATCTGGTGCATCCGTCTCTGCGTCGTCTCGCTCCAGGTTGATGAACGGCATTGATGGCAAGAAGGACGCGCTTCGTCAGGCAGGCGGGGTGGGCAGGGGAAGGATTGAGGAAGGAGGGTGTGGTGGAGGGAAGGGAGGGAAGAGTCACTGTAAGTGGTTGAGATAACGCCGATTCTACCTCTTTTCCAGCGAAAGAGCACGTCATGAATCGGGCCAAGAAAGGACTGGCGGGATGGGGAGGTGCGATGGATGTGGGGGAGGCGCCTATCGACATGGACACGTCCGACCCCGAAGAGGGGGCATGAGACAAGCGCCGACAAGACAGCATAAGACACACTTTCGGGCACGGTCAGGCACATGGGCCATCTACGCAAGTCAGGGAATGTGCATGCACGTACCTCGAGCCCTGATCCTCCTCCCCTGCTGCCGGTTCCTCCTCTTCCTCCCGGCCAATCACTTGGTCCTCCTGTTCATCCCAGCCAAAGCCATCCTCTTCCTCAGGCCATATCAAATGCAGATCCGAATCAATGTCAGGCGTTGGCATTCCAGTTGTCGCGCCAGCTGGGCCCTGAACCTGGCCGAGACCATGAGGTACATTCCCTGAACTCGGGAGCTCTGAAGCGGCCATCCTGCAAGGCGGTTCTGTACTTCGATGACCAGCTTGTATGAATCACGCTTAAGACCTCTCCTACGCAGTCCACGTTCTCGATCTCGAAAAGATTGCCTTTGCTCCGGGATCGAATTTCTGCGGGAAGGAATTTCAAACAACCATTCCCAAAGAGGAACCAAAGCGCCTTCAGGTTAAATCTTCAGAGATGAACAAATCTGTAGTGTGCGCAAAGACAACATAAAAATGGTCGTAAATACCATGACTTTCGATCGTCCACTTCCCATTCCTGGCCAGGACCGATCATCCCAATGTTCGACGGCCCTCAGGCAGTTTTGGGAGGAACACGCGAGACCGGATGTGGTAGAAAGGCGATTATTTGGTCACCAACCACGGTGGTGGTGGCAACCTTTGAAGTAGGGCGAGGCCGTAGGGCGAGCGAGGACCTCCCGGTCTCGTGGACTTTACGGCGCGCACATGGCCACTTGGGGCAAAACGAGGACACTCAATGTCGTGAAAGAAGGCTTTGTGATATCGGAGGGGGGCGTGCGGTCATGGCGGCTTCATAAAGGTTGTGGAAGTGGGATTAATCGGGTTGTGCGGAGAGGTTGCGGGTTAGTATCATATCCCGGCCGATTGATTCTCTAGCTTCACCTTACCTTTTTTATGTGACCCCGGGGACAAAGGCCGATGTTCTTCACGAGAAGGGTACACAAAGGTGTTCTGGTACACTCTGCTTCGTCGGACGCGCTCACAGCCTTCCCACTCGTTTTCTCCTTTTCCCCTGCACGACAGCGTGGCATCATGAAGCTGTTGCTTGGCATTTGTGTCATAGGGGCTGCCCTGACGCAGGGCTTTTTAACCCCAACGCCGATGCACCAAGCATTCCAAGACACACGTACTCAACACCGTCGATTTGCATCCAGGACACTTAAAGCTGTGGTAGACCCTGGCCACGTGGCGGAGGTGGTGCACACCCACCTCCCCTCATCGTCGGTCTGGCTTTTGCAGACACTTCAAGGGGTAGCGGATGCTGCCGCAGCCACAGCCGCCGATACTGCAGGAGCCGTGGAAGGTAGCAAAGAGATGACTGGTGCAGCTGCGGCCGCCGCTGCGAACAATGGCGGGTGGCTGGCGGCTCCCATTGGCGCGATTGAGAAAGCCATTACCTTCATGCACGAAACTTTGGAGGGCGCCGGGTTGCAAAATACCTACGGCCTGTCCATTATCGCCTTCACCGTCCTCGTCAAACTTGTGACGCTGCCTCTGAACTACAAGCAGATCGAAAGCACGACGAAAATGCAGGCCATCCAACCGAAAATGAAGGAAATCCAAGCCAAGTACAAGAGCGACCCCACCCTTCAACAACAGAAAATGGCCCAGCTCTATTCCGACAACAACGTCAACCCCCTCGCGGGCTGCCTCCCTGCGTTGGTGCAGATCCCCATCTTCATCTCCCTGTACCGGGCCTTGACGAATTTGGCCGCCGCCAACGAATTGAATGAGCCTTTTCTCTGGCTACCCAATTTGGAGGGACCGACGTACGGGGCGGGCCCAGCGGACGGGATGAATTGGCTGAAGCAGTGGGAAGGCTTTACCCCCTCTCTGGGCTGGCACGACACCATCGCTTTTTTGACGGTACCGTTGATTCTGATCGTCTCCCAGAGCATCTCCCAACAAATCTTGCAGCCCGCCGCGAACAAGGACGATCCCAACGCGCAGCAATCCCAGGCCATCCTCAAATTTCTCCCCTTCATGGTCGGCTACTTCTCCCTGAACGTGCCCTCAGGCCTGGGGGTGTACTGGATCGCCAACAACTTGATCACCACCCTCACCACGGTGGCCGTCAGGGCCGTCATACAAGGCAAGGAGGAGGAAGCCGTTGCCGGAGGGGGGGGGGGGGGCACCGTCCGTGATCTCTCCTGTGGATGAAGGTCCCCGACGTGGGTTTGGCCGCGCCCCTCCCCCACCTCCGGCCCCGAAACAGGAGGTGGAGGACGTGGACGACGAGTCGTCGTCTTCGGCGGGGGTGGAAAAACGTAAATTCGGGGGGCTTCCCGCCGTGGGGGTGAGCCAGGATGAGCGCTTGGGCCGGACGGAGAAGGGTTCGACGGTGGAGGTGTTGAAGGAGGAGGGGGGCTTGACGGTCCTCAGGGAGGTGAAGGACGGGGAAGTGGTGTCCACGACGGTGCGGTTGACGCCGGAGGAGATGAAGCGACGGCGGGAGGCATTGGCCAGGGGGGAGGATCCGGCCGCGGTCGGCCCACCGACGACGCCGAAAACCCCCGAGCCCAGCAATGATCCGAGGCAGAATAAACGGTCGAAACGCCGGAAGAAATAGAGGGGCGGGGGGGGGGGAGGAGGAAGTATGCGTTGTATACAAGGAGGTGGGAGGTGATGGAGGGTGACAGGGGGCGTGGCCTTCTGAGAAGGGCAGAGGGGGAGGCCAGGGGGCAAGGGGAGGGGAGGGCAGGAAAAATGGTGGACGAGAAAGATTTTTACAGCCCCAGGTGGCTATTCTCATGTTCTTATACAAGCGCGGCGCAAGTGCATTCGGTGTTTGATCTCAGTACTGACAGCCCCGCGTGGGCGCCAAGCATGCTCTGATTGTTGGAAAGCGGTGGAAGAAATTGAGGGAAATGGCGGGTTTGCTTTTTTGGGTGCAAATTGACGCAAGGAGAGGGTATCAGAGTGGAGGAGTGCGTGGTGGCGAAGAGGGACGGGAGGGGGGAGAGGCAGAGAGGGAGATAGAAAGAGAGGAAGAGGGAGAGGAGTTGAGAGGAGGGGAGGGAACAGGACAAGTGAAAGCAAGTGGAAGAAAAGAAGAACCTCGCGACGCAAGCCGAGCGATCATAAGTGTCGAAGAAGCGACTGGAAAAGACTAACAATGTGGCTCACGTTAGTGTCACCGTCCAACAGGAACCCTGATGTTTGACAGATGTCTCGCATCTCCGCATGTCTGGCCCGAATGCTTTCAATTCGCTTGTGTACGCGTCTCTGGTCGCCTTGACTCGGCAGATCGAGCACCGCCTTCCCACGGTCTGCTACCAGCCTTTACAGTGTGTTGCAACGCTTCGCCCCTGTACATCCCCGTGCTCAAGCAGGGGTGTCCACTTACATGATCCCCCCTTTCTTCCGCCCAAACCAACCCCACACCCTTGGTTTTCCAGCCCTAGACATGCTGAAGATGAAGGCAGGGCGCTTTCTCCTCCTCTGGTCTTCTTTTGTCCCTTATTGCCCGTCCTCTCTTCCGCCCACCGTGCCGTCGTTCCACCCTTCTTCTCCCAGCTCCTCCCAGCCCCTCTCCTCCTCTTCCCATCCCTCCCCCTCTTCCTCCATTGCCATGCGTTGCCTCGCGGCAGACTCTTCCCGCGCAATCAACGCCTGCATCTCTAAGTCCTCCTCCAATTCCTCCGCAAAGGCCAAAAAATCCGCCTCCGCTTTTTCCTCCCCTTCCACTTCCTCCTTCCTATCCCTTCCCCGCGCCCCCGCTCCCTCCCCATTCCCCTCCCTTTCCGCTGCCCGCCGGGCCCGCCGGGCCTGCAAACGCCGCAACCGCCTCCTCTCTCTTTTCGCGCCTTTTTTCTCCACGTCCACCCGCCGCACCAACACCACGTCGGGCGGCTCGTGTTTCATTCCCCGCCATCCCCCTTCCCTCTCCCCCAGCGCCGTGGCAGTGCCCAGATCGTAGCCCAGCACAGTGTCCCCAACCGCAAGGAGATGACCCAGGTGCGACACGGCCCGGTGCGTCACGTCCCGGACCCCAAAATCCGAAGACTTAATGATTTCGACCTCCGCAAGCTGCCACTTCCGAGATGGACCGTTCCCTCCCTCCGGGTATCCTGCCTCCCTCTGTCCCTTGTCCCGCCCTCCTTTCCCCTCCCCCCGCCGTGGGCGTATTAGCTCCACGTCCAGCACTTCGTAGGGGATCAGGTCCCCGCTTTGCATCAAGCACTCGACAGGAGCTTTCCAATACTTGGCAGCGGTCATTTCCCCCGTTTTTAAGGTCAAAGGGTCGAGGAATTGAACGACGGCGGTGACCCGGGAGACCAGCACCAGCCCCTGCACTCCCCCCCCGCCGGGAGGCAGGAAACAGAGGTCGTCTTTGCAGAGAGGGACGATATCAACGGACATGGACCATTGGGAACGGTGGACGTTGTTCTGCCGGTCTTCGGCGATCAACTTCCGGGTAGTTTTACTCCGCATGGGGACGGCGGTTTGAAGGAAGGCCAAAAATTGCAGGGCTGTATTCTTGTCTCCAAAGTATAGGTCCATCCCGTGGCGGGTCAGCTCCATGTCCAAGATCTTGCTCTCCATCTTCCGGGCGAGAAGGAGCTGTTCCAGGAAAAAAAAAGTCCGTTTGTGGGTAACCCGCTGTCGAAGCTGACACACGGCCTTCCAGGCCTGCTCCGTGTAGGACAGGGCGCAGGCGTCGCACTGGGGTGGAATGGGGAGGGAAAAGGGAGGATTATGGAGGAATAAGACAGGTTTGGGGTTCTCGAGGCACGAAGAATATCCAGAACATGCCATCGACGGCGATGAGTCCACGCGCGCTTCCTTTCCCTTTGACCTCTCTCCCCTCCCCTTCACCTGTATGGTCCGCACGACAAACTCGGCTTGCACCCTTTGCTGCACCATCACGCCGTTCAGTACCTCTTTTCGAACCGTCAACTTCAACTTCAACCGTTTCGAGTGCGGCTCCGTCCAAATCCATCCTGCCTCCACCACCTCCATAGGTCCGTCTCCACCCCTCGGCCCACTTCCACCTTTGTGAAGGCCCGGGACAAACTTGAGCACCAATGCCAGTAGTTCGCGGGACTCAAGTTCAGCCGCCACCCAATGTTTCGATTTGGCCTGCCAGTGAAAGCATTGCTTGCATTGGATCAAAGGACGGGAGGGCTTGATTTCCCCTTGCAAATCGATCTCATTTCGCACGCAATTTCCGCAGCGGTTGGCAGCATTACTTTCCATGGACAAACCACACAAAGGGCAAAGAACACGGGCCGCTGTTCGTGTCAGCGGAATGGCAGTCGTCTCCATGCCTCAATCACCCTGCTGTGGAAAGGCGACGATATTTGAAGGGGAAAAAAAGTGAGCATGGCAAGAGCGTTCGTGTCTCCCGCTCTGTAATGCAGCCGCATATGAATGCGATATATCGCCGCGTCTCTACGTTCGCCCCGCTTTTCAATGCAGCCACATACTTATGCACTGAATTGCCGTCCCTATATGTTCGCTGGTAATTCACAATGCCTCTGGGTGCTGGATACAGTATTGGACAAGCGGCAGGGGTCAAAGCAGGAGAGGATTCTGCAATCGGAGCTCTCAAAGCAGCCTTGCGCGCACGCGAGACACACCACGGCGTGTGAGTTGTCAAGCACTCCTTGTTGCCGACAAATTAAAACTATAAATCCCCATTGTGGTTTATTAACCCATGACCTTTGACCTCCCAAGTGCCTCGCCTGTGACGGTTGGAGGATCGTATGATATCATTGGGCAGTTGCCCTCGACGGCGAGGTTGCCACAATTGATAAGGCATCAATTAAAGCCCAAGGATTGTATTGCACGAAATTTTGTGTCCGACTAGGCAAGCATAGCATTTTTTTGTGGCAAACAGAAGAGCATGTCTATGGATCACTCATGCCCTGGACTCCTCATACTCGTGATGCCCCTCTCTGCCCTCTCGCCCAAATAATAATGGGCCGTCGCAGAGTCCTTGAAGCGTGCTCCGTGCTTCCACTCCGTCAAAACCCAAGAAGCTCAGACGTGAAGGATAGATACTACAGTGCAATTTAGTAGGTGTAGTACTTGAAGGTAGAGTCATGTGGGTGGATACGGCTGCGGCACGCCACCGTCTTCGTTTTCGTCGCATTGGTACTACAGTGCAACGCACCAAGACGACGCTGCGAAGTTTTTTTCTATGCGCCCTCATTCCTTACAGGTAAAAATTGCTATCAGAGCGATATTGTATATACATACGACGGAATGCTAATGCATGAATACCACTTGCCGCGTCCTAGCTACTTCTAGTATCAGCAAGAATAAATAGCACGTAAAATTTTGTAAGATCATTGGCACTCAAACTCTAGCACATACATTCAATATAAGCGCATGTACATACTTAAAAAAATTTCTAAGACACCTCATATGTCTAGGAACATGGTAAGAGGCATAAAATGAGCGTTGGGGGGGGAAAGAGAATATCAACAGTCAGATACGCTGGTATAGCTACCGTACAAAAGTAGACTTTCACGCTCTCAAAAGCGTGTTTCTGTGTTGACTTTGACGCGTATTGATGAAGAAATCCATCAACTTACTCAGGGGACAGCTTGTCGCAGGGAGCGTAACGTCGTACACGAATTAGTGATTATCAAGTACCAAATCAATGCGAAGGACTGATCGAAGACTTGCTTTTCTATGTCTAGGTCACGCCAGCAGAGAATTACATCCGAATGACTATAGTTACACGTGAATGTCTAGGGTGCAAACCCCCCTCCATGCGCATACAAGCATGGGTCCAGGTCTAGAGGCAGGCCCGAGCACCGAGATCGCCGTGGGTATATTGGAAATTCCCTCTTCCCCCTAGCTCCAGCGGCATGGACCGTCCAACTCCCCCGCCCGCCCTCCCGCCCGCCTTCCCGCTCCTCGCCCATAGCTGCTAGTGCTGCGTATAACCTCGGTCTTCCACAAACGCTCGAATCCTCTCTAGACCTTCCGGTCGCACCGCTAGTAACTGCTTGCGCTTACGACGCCCCCCCTCGGGACCCCGGATTTCCCCCATGCCCCTCTCTTCCTCCTCTTCCTCTGCCTCCCCAGCCCGCCCCCCCCTCCTTTGGCTCGCCCAACACACGACCGCCAGGTTCTCTGCATACGTCCGTACCTCCTCGAACTCCTCCACCATTAAACTGGACAAATCGATCATCATCACCTCCTCAAATTTCACCCGGCTTCGCTCCTGGTGCCAGAGCTCGATCTGCGCCTCCACGTTCTCGGGGAGAAGCCTGCCTTTTCCCGCACGGACCGCCACGTGGGTGTGGGTCTTCAAGAAGGAGAGGATGGTGGCGGCGGTGATGCCGGAAGCCATGGCGCGGCGGACACTGGCACGGGTGATAAAGCCAATCACAACGTTGGGAAGGCGGCAGCGAACGTCCGTAAAAATCCGCAGCATCTCCACGTGCAAAGAGGAGGAGGTGTAGGCAACGAG